TGCTTGAGGTGATCCATGAGAGTTCTTGAACAGCAATACAAAAAGAGACAAGTTACCATTAGACTGTCTTCCGGGTAGTTTGTCCCTCCGCATATGTGCATATCTTGAAAAACGAATATCTAATGATTTATTTGCAATTTTTGCCAGATTCGTAGGAGAAATGTTTATATATATATATATATATATATATAAATTTTTTTTTTTTTTTTTTTTTTTTTTTTTTTTTTTGAATGATGACTTTACTCCTTGCTCGATTATTATAAAATGCAATTGAAAACAATATTATTTACTAGAATTACAACAAAATGAAATCTATAATTAAGACCATATGTAATAAAAAAGAAATTAATATACATTTCCAGGAAATAATACTAAATAGAAATACTTTTTAAAATGATGATAATAAACTGCCTTAAGATTAACACCACAAAAAATCCCACACACAAAGATTCACCAAAATGCATGATGTACTTAAAATCCACATTGTTATAGGTAATAACAATAAACTATTTTATTCATCAATTACAAAAAAGGCTTATATTTTAGCGGATATATTTTTTCTCTGATTTTATGGTTTCCCAATTAGACAAAATGTATAGAAATATAGGGTCTGTTCTAGAACTGCAAGAATGTAGACAATTTTACCAGAATAACCGATTTTCCTTTCATGATATCGAAGAAAATTGCAAAAATAGTAGATACTTGCGGGTTCTGGAACAGAGCATTAATAAGTTTAATTTTAACTATAATTTTTGAATTTGGTTTGCTTCAAATAAATTTGATTTTAAAAATGCAAGCTTTTTTCAAAAAATTGAAATTTAATTAAAGAAGTCTTCATATTTTCAAATAAAACGAAAACATGAAAGCACTAATATTTTTCCAAACAAAGTATTGTTGTTAAAAATCTAAAAATTAAAATAAAACAATCTATTAAAATTAAGGAGACCCTATAAAAACTATAGGAAAATTAAACAAATGCACATTTTAGATGCACAGACCCCCCACATGCCACATTGTTCACTACGAGGGCTAACAAACAAAAATATTATACATATATACACAAGCTATAAGTAGTTTATAAGTATTCGTATTATTACAAATTAAAAAAAAAAAAAACAGAGCTACAATCGCAATTCATTAATTTTGTAGCATAGTGTAATAATCATAAATAAATCACAAATTTCGGTTTCTCGCAAATTTTTTCAGAATTTTTCTTTTGAAAACCAAAAAAATTGTCTGTTACAAATTAAATTGATTTTGTACATTTGTTATTATAGCCAATAAGCAAAAGACCTGAAAAAATGTTAATTATATATTTCCCAAAAAAATGCTTAGCAACAAATGTAAATGCCTATAAAATCAACACACACAGACACACCCATTCATTTGACAAATAAAATTGCATATATAAAAAAATGTTGCATTTTTGTTGTTATTTTCGAATATCTGGGGTAAGTAGAATATAAAATCGTAAGGCTTTCAAAATATGCAAACAAGAGAAGTAATCAGTTAAGAAACTATCAGAGCATGGCGCAACCAGAAAGCTTAAATTCCTTTAAAAAAAATTAAAAAAAAAACAAGTTAAATAGAATCAGTCGGTACTGCCGACAGATGTATATCATCGCCCATTGTTTGATTATTTAAAAATATGTTGACTTCTTTTACGATTATTCAAATTTTTGACCATCTATGAAATAGGTTCCGAAGGAATGGGCCAATATTCTCCATTTCGTATCGGACTTAAATATGTTATAAATATTCATACATGCCAGGTTCGGAATATATTGACTACAACCTTCACTTTATATGAGATATGTGATAATTGACAAAAACAAGTAATAAAGCTGTAAGTTAGGCCGGGCCGATATTTGAATATCATCCGCAATATGCAACAAATTTGACAATTTTCAAAAAAATATAATCAATTAAAAATTCTGTTAAAATGTTAAAAATATCGAAAGTAGACCTTATATTAGGGTCTATACGACGACGTCGACCTGCATAGACAACTTTTGTCATAATTACAATATTCAAATACGAAACTTGAAAAAAAAATCGGTGAATAATGAAGCTAAAATCATGAATATACCGATGACTGTCATAGGTTGTAGTATCCATTATGAACTTCGATCACCAAATTTGAAACAATTCCGGTGATTAATGTAGCTTAAATCATCAAAATACCGAATATCGCGGGGGTACCGCATTATGGGGGCTAAACGAAGTCATGGACCTGCACAAACAATTTTCTGTCATAGGCTGTAGTATCCATTACGAACTTCAAATACTCAATTTGAAACAATTCCGGTGAATAATGTCGCTAAAATCATAAAAATACCGAATATGGGGAGGTACAGTTATATGGGGGCTATGCGAAGACGTAATCCTGCACGGAAAATTTTCTGTCTTAGGATGTAGTATCCATTACGAACTTCGAACACTAAATTTAAAACAATTCCGTTGAATAATGTCGCTAAAATCAACAAAATACCGAATATCGCGGAGGTACTGTTATATGGGGGCTATGAAAAGACGTGGACCAGCAGAGACAATTTTCTGTCTTACGCTGTACTATCCATTACGAACTACAAATACCAAGTTTGAAACAATTCCGGTGAATAATGTCGCTTAAATTACCAAAATGCCGAAAAAAGTGAGGTATCATTATATGGGGGCTATACCAAAACGTGGACCTACATGACCCATTTTTAAAAACAAAAGTCCTGCAGACATAATACACATTGAGTAAATTTTATCAACTTACTTCATTTCGTTCGGAAGCTAGAGTGATTTCCACAGACGAACAAACGGACGAACATCGCTAAATCGACATAGAATTTTATGCTGATCAAGAATATATATACTTTCTGGGGTCTAAAATGTATATTTCGAGGTGTTACAGACGGAATGACAAACTTAATATACCCTCCATATTATGGTGAAGGGTATAATAATAAGCGCAATTGAGAACTATATGAAAAAATGCAGCCAACTTCAGACTGCTGTCATTTCTAAGCCACTCATCCGGCGGCTGTTAAAATTATTCCAGTGACAGCTCATTATATTATTTACAAGAGTACAAAAGCATTTTGGTGAGAATTTTCCAGAAAAAAAGTTATTCGTGATGGAGGAATTCAAGCGAGATAGTGTGATTTCTTCATATTTGGCTGGAAAGGCACAAGTGGCTATCGTTAGAGCACTCCAGCATTTAAATGTGAATAAATCTTTCGTGTCTCGTACCATCGCTCGTTACTGTGATACTGGTAGCGTAGCCCGACGCCAAGGAAGTGAGCGAAAGAAACCAGCAACATCAGCAGAAATGGTTCGAAAAGTAAATAAGCGACTTGTTCGAAATGTGCAAGAGGTACCAGAATTATGCCTGATTTGTTTCGCAAATTATGACAGATAAAATATAGAAATTTGTGAGCCTTTGTGGGCGAGGTACCAGAACGTGTTCGCAGATATATATCATCTTCACAACAGGTCTTGTGTTGGCAATAATGTTCTTGCGTGTGAAATCTGAAGAGAGTTGGATTCTTATTTCGTTAACTTTGAGCGTTTTGTTTTCAAAATCTTGAACCCTATGTGGGGGAGGTAGTTGAAGTAATGGCCCGATCTCTACCATCTTTATCATAGATCTTATGCTGATGAAAATATTGAGATGTACCAAGTCTGAATGTAACCGTATGTTAAATTAGCGTTTTATGAGCTTCATGGATATTCAAAATTTTTACCCTTTGTGGGGGAGGTATCAGAAGAAGTGGACCGATATATTCCATCTTCACAGCAGATCTTGTGTTAGTAGAAATAATGGAATGTGTGTAGTTTGAAGAGAATCGGATGCAAATTTCGGATATTATAATCGTTTTCGTTATTCAAAACGTTGACCCTTTGTGGGGGAGGTACCAGAAGAAATTGTTCGAACTCTACCATCTTTATAACAGATCAAGCGTTGATGGAAATATTAAGATATACTAAGTCTGAATGAAATTGGATGTTAATTTCGCATTTTATGAGCTTCGAGGATACTCAAAATTTTTACCCTTTGTGGAGGAGGTACTTGAAGGAGTGACCGATATATCCCATATTAACATCAGACGTTGGATTAATAAAAATGTTGTGATGTGTGTAATTTGAAGAGAATCGAATGCCAATTTCGGATTTAATAATCGTTTTGCTTATTCAAAACTTTGACCCTTTGTGGGGGAGGTGCCAGAAGGAATGGTCCAATCTCTACCATCTTTACTGAATGGAGTCGGATGTTGATTTCGCGTTTTATGAGCTTCTGGGATATTTAACTTTTTGACAGTTTGTGGGTGAGGTACCAGAAGCCTTAGACAGATAAATCCCATCTTCACACCAACTACTTGGATTTGCTAAGTTGGAGAAAAATCGGATTATCGTTTCTCTCTCTGTGCAAAAAATATTTTTTTTTAAAATTTCGACTTTTTGTGGGAAAGTACCGGAAGGAGTGGACCGATATTGCCCATCTCCAAACTCGATGGAAGTTTGACAAAAATATTACGATGCACCAAGTTTAGACCAAATCGGATACTCCCTTTGAGACCTAGGGTCTAAAACCGTTATTTCGACAAGGCAGGATTTGACCGTATCAAATGATATATATACCCTCTGTAGCCATATGGCTGAGGGTATAAAAATCGGTCGATCTTTGTTGGGGAGGTATGATATGAAGTTGACCAATATATTCCATATATGACGGAGTCTAACATTAACAGAGACATTGCGATTTGGGATATGTGTGAACGAAATAGGTGAATTATTTCCAGCTCAAATGTTTACCCTTTTAGGGTCCCACCGTTGATCTTGTCGATTTTCCCATCTGTCCCATGTCTGTTAAAAGTATTATTAACTAAGTACTTCAGCCAAATCATGTGCTTCTTATTTGAAAATGTTGGCTGTTTGTGTGGACAAAAGTTCTTGTATTATTTTTTGGATCGGAAAATTCGAGTTATATAATTTTATTTCTAAAGACTTACCCGGGTATAGGAGTGCATGATTCCCACAGCTGACGTAATTCCCGTGTAAATGCTGCATACAATTGAGCAAAACCACTTTTACCACCAAAATGAGCATGAACTGTGGCCAAAAGGCAGCTTAAACGATATACCAAGGAGTCGGATTCGGCCGATTTGATGCGATGTGGATCAATCTAGAAATGAAAATAGTTACCAGAATTAAATAAAAATATGATAAATTATAAAGAAAGACCGCCTCTTACCTTATCCTTGCTCAACATTTCATAGAGAAACAAAGCCAGATCCGGCTTTATATTGGGCAACAGATAGTACAGCATGGGATTCAATTCATACTCTTTCATGGGGCCGGGCAATTTACTTTGACCACCAGAAGATGTTGCTTGCTGAGTATTGTCAGCATATTGTTTTGTCTGTGGACGATGTGAACCAATTTTGCCACCCAATTGATCCAGAGGATTACCCTCCTCGGCCATAGTTGTGGCCCCGGAAAAATTACGACCCACATATGATTCCAGAGTATTTTTGGCAGTTATCAAATTGTAATAATCCTTTAGACAGGCAGTTAAATATGAATTGGCATGTACGGTTTGATAGAGTTTACCACACGGGGCCTTTGAGGGTATGAACTGTGTTTGCAGCGGCGAATCAATAAACATATTATCCATCAATTCCGGCCATGTAAATGTGGCAAACATTGTGGTGTTCGAACCGGGAAAATAACCATGTGGCAATGCTGTGAATTGGGACACCTCTATGACGGAACGTTCCTCATCCACCACGGGTGTCATGCCAAAGGGAACATACATGGGAACGCGTAGCTTAACGGTATCCATGGCATATGTGATGCGCACGGAAACCACAGCGGGTTTATCATGATTTCTGGGCAGTTTCTCTTTGAACATTTTCACCAAACCCGATAAATACAGGTACTCGGCTGGTGCCTGTTCCAATGCCACCGAATGGAAATTTGTGCGCATATACGAAGACATTCCAATGCCCAAGAAGAAATTCCATTTCGGATCATGTATATGTAGAAAGATGGGAACTGCAGAACACACCTCGGCTGCCACCACCGATATGGAACTCAGGAAGAAACTGAACTTGGAAGTGTTGGTTAGATAATGATTCTGCAGTTGCGATGGATGCATGACAACAAAGCGCCTCAAACCATACATGCGAGCCAAATAATGGACATCGTTTGCCTTCTCATCGAGGAATGTAGGCTGATCCAATGTGCTCTTCACGCACATCAAATCCTGATGGAATTGTGGTGTAACATTTGCACTTTTGGAACATGTACCCGGTTCCAGCAATGCCTTGTAGTATTTCACAGTCATGGGTTTGCCCAAGACTTCCAATTGTTCCTCATCAATCTGCCATTTGGTGTTGTTAACATTGAAAGATGCGTCGCCCCAATCGTTCTCATTAGATAGTTCCCATCGTTGAAATAAATCGCCCAATTGGGCATTAAATACTTCCCAATCAGATTCTGCACTGAAATCTTCGCGATAAAATCCGTTATCGTCGATTTCTTCAGCCATTTGAAAAAGACTTTGTCTCTGGCGTCTGGGAACTGGACAATGAAAATACTTTGTAACACACGCACGGAGATAGTTGTGAATGAAGGAAGAGACAACACGCCGAAAGTTTAGAAAGTGGAAAAGGCAACAGGCCGAAAAATATTGAAACAGATGATTTGTAGATGAAATCATAAACAAAGAAAAGGGTTCTAAAAGTCGAAAGAAAAACAGCAGTGAGTAGGGTTATGAAAATCGGAAATAGGAATTAAATTGAATAGGGTTGTCGAGTCAGGAAATAATTTTATCATAAAAACCCGGACCACTAAGTCCAATTATCTACGACTTTGGTATCCACGAAGCCAACTGGATTAGTGTGACCTAAATAGTGTTTTTTTTTTCTTTAATGTTATGAACATATATTAATGTAAAATGGCAAAAAGAGGACCAACATGAAAAAATCAATATAAATTCCTTTGTTCCTTGTCATAAAGCTGGCGTCTTATGCCATATAAAATCCTCGTATTTTTTATGCTTTAGCCAAATACTCAGCAATTTAATTCTAATCCAGTAGGTTAACCCCTTTATATGTAAAACTGTAAGAATTTTTTTCAAAAAACTTAAAATAAGTTCTTTTATAAAATATATTCATGTGAGAAAAACTCGCATATTAGAAATATCAATTTTTAAAGTGTTTCCTATAGGCGTAGTTTACTGTACTATGATAACCTTTAATAAAAAACTAAGTCAGGTGATGGGATCGGATGGGTCATATTACAAGTCAATAAAAAAAACGAAAAACTCTAACACCTAATGCCATGTTTACGTTAGAACTTTTTGTAGGGTTAACCTACTTTGAGAGGATTTATTTGAAGTAAAAGTAATGGAAATGACAATTTAAATCCAAATTCAGTGGGTTAACGTTCATATATATAAACGTACTGTAATATATTGCTCTGTTCCAATATCTATAAGAATTTACTAGTTGGGCAATTTTCTTCGATATTATAAAGGGAATCAATCGGATATCATAGTAAAAACTTTTACATTCTTGCAATTCTGAAACAGATCATATAATCATTGGAAGTGACAATCTAAATGGAGCTTCTTACCTTATGGTAGTGGTAAAATGATCGAAAAACCCACTGAGTATTGACCAAGTCGGAAATCTAGTCCTTTATTGACGTATTCGGAATGAAATTGACATTTGAAATCTGCTGGAAATAGCTTAAAATTATGCTATACAAAAATGAAAGTGTAAACAAACCTTTAACGGCCGTTGATAACAATAAAAATCGATTATACAATTTTCCACCATCGCAAAAAGCAACTTCCATCGATTAGTCGAATGTCGACCTACGCATCCCTAACTAGAATTATTTTATTTTTTAAGAGAAGAAAAAGAAAAGTGGACGAAACGAAACCCAATAAGAATTTTATTGAAATTCCAAGTGTTGTTGGTATTTCGGTCATATAAATAGCGCCAAAGAACGACATGAAGTAGTGAAATAGTAACAAATTAAATGTAAATAAGCTCAAATTTTATTTTGGTAAGTTAAGGCAAACGACGAAAATATGAAAAGAATCGAAAAAAGCAAACAAAATTGACAAGAATCAATGCGAGGAGAACAAGAAAAAAATGTTGGAACCCAGTTTTTTTTCGGTTAAAAGTTTTGAAGCTGCAAAAAGAATAAAAAAATAAAATCATATTTTTTCTTTGACATGGTGGGAGCTGAAAATAAAAAGTGAAAATTTCGGAAATTGGTCGAAAAAAAATATAAAAAAAGAAGAGCAACAAAACACACATACCCATATAGAATGAAACGAAAAGAACACATACGCACACACACATACACTAAAGGAGAAGCAAAGGAATTGAAGATAAGCAGTGAAAGGAAAAAAATAAATGAAAACCGTCGTCGTCGCTGCCGTCGTGAATGTTTTAATAATTTCATGAGTGAGTGTGTGTGTTGTGAGGCCGAAAATGTTTATGCCCGTGTTTTTATGAGTGTGAGTGCGCGCGCGATTCTTTTTGAAGAGTGTCGCCCGTTCATCGTTAACAATGTTGTCAATTAAAAAATTTATACGTGGATATATTTCGGTGCTTTTTTTTTAGTTGCTTTGAATGAAGTGTTTTACAGATGGTGCGATCCTTTCATACCTTTGCCCTGTATAAATTACTTTTGGTGCCAAAAATTCGTGAAAGTAAAGGTTACAAAAATGTGATTTTGTCCCAGTTGAGTTTATACCAAAAACAATAGGTCAATATTTTGGAATGGATTTATATGTATTATTGTAAGATCAATGTGTGTTAAACATTTCAGAAAGATCTATAATCCAGCTAATCTCTTATTTTTTAAGGAAGTATCGAGCGATAATTATACTAGTTTTATAAACCCTACAAGTTTTAGTAAAAACTCTTCCATTTTTTACCCTGATTCGGGGAAACTTTTTTTTCTTGGGGGACGAGCCCGGGACCCTAGATTTTTGACCCGAAAATCCGAGTTCAAGACCCGACCAGGACCCGGATCCAATTACCCGCTATAGACAATATAGGTATCGTTGGAATAAGTGGTCACGGTTCGGAAGTGGAAAAAGTAAGAGTGTCGGCTATTATTTAGTATAATTTTTGTTGACCCCCATAATGGGCTCTTTTTCACTTTTTGGGGGTTTTATAAAAAATCGGGGTCCATAAAAATCGATAATTTGACTATAACTTCTGAACCGCTTATAAATAACCCGAAAAGCTTTCAAACGACACCTATATTGCCTATATCTTGGGTCCCGGGTCCGTCCCCAAAGAAAAAAATAGTTTTCCGAAATCAAGGTAAAAATACTTACCTCTGGTAAAATATTCGAAAAAAATCGAAGCAATCCCACGGCAGCGGGTTCTACGATACCGGATTGACCCGAAACAACAAGTTTCCTGTTTCGGCCAGCGGCTGCCAACCCAGTATGTACATGTTTGTGTTTGTTTATTTTTCTGCATTGGGAGCAGCATATCCCGGAATGCTTGCTCCGGATTTTATTGGTCCGTGCCGGGATTGAGGAAAACCCCGGACCTTGGTTCTGCTCGGTTTGTCAGAACGTCATCCACCACAGATCTGTCTCGGTGCGATGTAATGGATGCAGAGAGTGGGTGCACTTCAAGAACTGTTCCGGATTAAGGCGTTTGCGAGACTACAGCGAAAGGGATTATGTTGCGACTTGCTGCAGTAACGTAGTCCCCAGCGAGTCCTCTTCTTCGTCGTCCTCGTCAGAGACGTCGTCGGAGTATGGCACTCCACCGCAGTCTCCAGAACAGCAACCAACACCGCAGCACCTAACGCCACATGTTGCTGTTCCAACTCCGGATTGTGCATCATTCTTGCAATTCAATTGCAACGGACTTCGAGGCAAAATAGATGAGATAGTGGAATTTATGAGTCGGAGGAATATTAAGATCGCAGCGGTGCAGGAAACCAAGCTGAATGAAAATTGCAGCCTACAACGTTGTTATGGTTACAACGTACTAAGGAAGGATCGCACCAGAAGTGGAGGTGGGGGATTAGCGTTCCTGTTACACCATTCTGTTCAGTACAGACCTATCTCGCTTGAGCTAGTCTCTAGTGACCCATACATGGAATGTATGGGGGTAGCAGTCAAGTGTGGAACTGCCGAGGTAGAGGTGCTTAATGTGTATATCCCGCCGATTAATAGCTGTGAACCACGTTATTTGCCTGATATTAGCCCATTATTGGTAGGCAATAACCGCCTGGTACTAGGGGATTTTAATGCCCACCATGAGTTGTGGCATTCCGTCCTAGGTAATGACCAGAGGGGATCAGCGCTGGCAGAGCAGATTGACTGCTCCACATTCTGCACGGTTAACGAGGATGCCCCCACCCGAATAAGAGGAGAGTGTCACAGTTCGCCAGATTTAACCATAGTGTCACCCGGTCTGATAAATGACGTGACTTGGCAACCCGTCATTTCTCTTGGCTCAGACCATCTCCCGATAATCGTCTCCATAAGCAGGTCGCCCGATTTCATAACCTCTGAACGCCGCACTTTCCTTAACCATGGGAAAGCTCACTGGCCAGAGTTCAGAGAATTCACCAACCGCCGCTTCAGAGAACTGCCCAACCCTTCTGATGTTCGGGTAGCAGAAAGGATTTTCCGAAACATCATCAGAGCTGCAGCCGCTCGCTATATACCTGCTGGTCGAATACCCGAGATAAGACCAAACTTCCCAGCAGAGGCAGCGGGATTAGCAAACGAGCGTGATGATCTCCGTCGTACCAACCCTACTGATCCTAGAATCAGTGATTTGACAGTGGAAGTCAACCGGTTGGTGCAGGAGCATAAGAGGAAAAAGTGGCTAGACCATCTGAAGTGCTGCAACATTGGAACCGATATGAGTAAGCTGTGGGTAACGGTTAAGTCGCTCTCGAACCCTGGAAAAAAGGATGATAGGACCTCAGTCACTTTTAACGACGTAACGGTGACTGATCCGAAGAGGTGCGCGGAATATTTTAACCGACAATTTGTCGAGCACCCCGAGAGTGATAGGGCGAAGCGAAGAGTACTACGTCGTATCAGATCTCTTCCCGCCGAGGAGGAACCACCACAGTTTACGATGGGTGATGTTGCAAATGTCATCCGTAACGCTAAGTCATCCAAAGCGTTGGGCCCGGACGGAATCTCAATGGTAATGTTGAAGCAGCTGGATACGCCGGGAGTCGAGTACTTAACAAAAGTTCTCAATTTGTCGCTAGCCACCTACATAGTGCCCGAAACCTGGAAAATGGGCCGGGTGGTCCCGCTACTGAAGCCAGGCAAGGATGCCAGTAAAGGCGAATCGTACAGGCCGATTTCGCTTTTGTCGCCAGTAGCAAAGACTCTTGAGGCTTTACTCCTCCCCAGCATTAGAGGAAGCTATGCAGTTGCCAACCACCAGCATGGATTCCGTCCACAACATAGTACCACAACAGCATTACACGCCATTTCCACACATATTAGTAGAGGACTAAACCAGAACAGGCCGTGTGACAGAACAGTGTTGGTAGCCCTTGACCTATCAAAGGCATTTGATACGGTCAATCATGCCACACTGTTTGAGGACGTACAGAGAACTACCCTCCGGCCAAGTTTGAAACGTTGGATAATCAACTATATGTGTGGACGCCAGTCGTACGTGGAATTCCGGAACAAGAAGTCCAAAGCCCGTAGAGTGAAACAGGGAGTTCCCCAAGGTGGGGTGATATCTCCGGAACTGTTTAACCTCTACCTTTCCGGAATTCCTCGCCCTCCAGACGGCATTGAGATCGTAACGTATGCGGATGATTGTACGATCATGGCGTCGGGTCCAGTGGTCGATGACATATGCGAAAGGTTGAACCCCTATCTCGCGGAGCTTGCCGCATACTTCCACGCGAGGAATATGAAAATATCCGCCACGAAATCAACGGCCACACTCTTTACCACATGGTCTGCGGAGATGAGAACACAGCTGAATGTTCAGGTCGAGGGGAATTTAATACCGACCACGAACTACCCCAAGATTCTTGGGGTAACGTTCGACAGCATGTTCAAGTCGTCCGCGCAAGCCACAGCTATCTGCGACAAGATGAAAAGTAGGAACAAGGTCCTCAAGGCGCTAGCCGGCAGCTCTTGGGGTGCGGACAAAGAAACCTTGTTGACCTCTTATAACGCGATAGGTCGGTCTGTGGTCAACTATGCGGCTCCAGTGTGGTCTGCGAATACTAGTGCTACGCAGTGGAAGAATATCCAGACCTGCCAGAACGCTGCCCTGAGAACTGCGACAGGGTGCCTCCTCATGACACCAGTGGACCATCTACATGAGGAGGCGAAAGTCCTTCCCTTACGTCAGCATAATCATATGCTTTCGTTGCAGTACCTGCTTGGGTGTTACCGTGAGAGCCATCCCAACCATCACATGGTGGATAACTCTCCCCCACCCAGGCGTGTCAGGAAGGACATACATGATCTAGAGAGGGAGGTCCAGCGCTACAAGAGAGAGCCTCTAGATCAAGAAGCCTATCAGGCAGGTCTGAGTGGCATTCACACCGATGCAGTCGCGGATGCTATTAGCAGTTACAAAGTGAATGCCGTCCTCGGAGTCCACCCCCCATCCATTGCAGCCGAAGAACGTCAGCTGCCTAGACAAACCAGGGTAGTTTTGGCGCAATTACGTTCAGGATGGTGTAGTCGCCTCAATTCGTATTGGGCACGAATTGATGAAGATGTGCGTGACGCCTGCCCGGCGTGTGATACAGGCCCGCACAATACGCTACACCTTTTTAATTGCTCAGCCAAACCTACCCAACTCACTCCAGAGGATCTCTGGCTACAGCCCGTTAAAGTAGCCGAATTTCTAAACCTGGAGCTGGAACCAGATTAGCAGAACACAAACACACACATGTACTACTGCTACAACAACAACAAAAAAATCGAAGAGTTTTTACGAAACTAGAGTTAAGCCAAAAATGAAAATTAAATGTTTTGCTGACCCATGATAGGATTTATAGACCTTCGCTCATGAGTAGACCCAAGGTTTTTGCAACACATCTGAATGTGTTTAAAGAAATGTGGATCTTAAAGTTTAACTTGGTGTTTAAATATTATTTCTTTTTTTAGATTTTTCAATTTTGTCCTTAAAAATACATGCAAATGCAATTTAATTTAAGTCCTACAATATAGTTCAGATCTTAAGCTTTAATTTGATGCATAATAAGTACATATTTACAATATTATAAGTAATTTGTATTTACTTTTTGTGGATTAAATTTGTGGATAAGTTTGATCATCTCATTCATTTTTTAGGCGATTTTTCCTTTCATGTGTTGACCACACTTGCCGAGCTTGTTGTTTTCTTTCGTTTGATAGTCCATCTTCGTTGTCGTAGAATCGTCCGTCGTTGTAGTGTGTAGTGGTAGGCAGTCGCTGTCAGATTTTTGGTTGTTTTTGTTAATATGCGATGATGATAGGATGGATGTGAATGGATGGTTGATAATTGGCAGAGGAGGCAGGAGGAGAAAGTAGCATCGCCACCATCTCTCGCCCCTTTTCAAAATTCTTTTTATTTTTTTAGATTTTTTAATATTTGTATTTTTCTTGGCGTATAGTTAGATTGGCTGGGAGCGTGTATCTCTGTTGTTGTTATTATTGTTTTAAAAGGTGATGGCGGTGGGGGTGTGGAGTGCGGGGGCCCACTTTGTAGGGGGTGGTGGTGATGGTGGTCAGCGTTGTGCATGTTTGGTTTGCTGTTGCTGCCACCGTTGTTGTTGAGGGAAAGAATATTTATTGTTGTTGTGTTGTTTTTTTTTTTCTTATTTGCTTTAACTTGAAGACCGACCGTGGATCCAAGTCAATTGCATTTTTTTGTGTAGTGTGGTTGGTTGAATGGATGGATGGGGAAAAAGGATGCTGCTTTGAGATATCCGCGTTCTTAGTTGTTGCTGTATTGCCATAGATGGATATTTTTTCTTCTTGTGTTACCCTGCCCACCCCACCCACTCTTTGACCCCTGTTCAAATGGATGCTGTGACGTTGTTATTTTTATTTTGACGAATGACACTGGCCATATTGAGAAACAAAATGAGAAAAAAATGTGTAGAGCGTGGGAGTGCAATTAGAGAAACAAAAACAAACAAAAGTAAGCCTAGTGCATGCTCTTTATTTGGTCGTTATTTTATTTATTTTTTGTTTTACTAAAGGAAGGGTTAAATATTTTAGAAAAACAAATGAATTGTGAAATTCATTTGATATTTGTTGTTGGTGTTTGAACGCCTCTTTAGAAACTGGACAAATCCTGCAGGTGTTTGTTCTGCCAACTAAATGCCAGTTTTGTCATCTTGATAGATGAAATGTAAATTACAGTAGTGTTGACAAATTCAAAGCATATGTTTAGGCGCAAATTGGTAAATTTAAAAACGCTGTATTTAAGCTAGTCATTTTTAGAAAAACGGATTCATAGAGTTACAATTAATACAAAAGACTTTCAGAACTTTAAACGTAGAGAATTATAGTTTATTATTAATTATAGGTGTGTTTTGTCTCCAAAAATTTTGGTAGGTATTGCAGAAAAATTAATTTTTGCAGCCCTTTTTCTGGACTTTTGGAATTAAAAGGCGATTTTTATACCCTCCACCATAGTATGGAGGGTATAATAAGTTTGTTAATCCGTTTGTAACACCTCCAATATATACATTTTAGACCCCACAATATATATATATATTCTTGATCAGCATAAAATTCTGTGTCGATTTAGCTATGTCCTTCCGTCTGTGGAAATCACTCTAGCTTCCGAACGAAATGAAGTAAGTTGATAAAAATTTACTCAAATGTGTATTATGTCCGCAGGACTTTTGGTATTGAAAATGGACCATGTAGGTCCACGTCTTTGTATAGCCCCCATATAATGGCACCCCCGATATTCGGTATTTTGATGGTTTTAGCGACATTATTTACCGAAATTGTTTCAAATTTCGTATTTGAAGTTCGTAATGGATACTATAGCCTATGACAGAAAATTGTATAGCCCCCATATAACGGTACCCCCGATATTCGGTATTTTGAGGATTTTAGCGACATTATTTGCCGGAATTGTTTAAAATTTGGTATTTGAAGTTCGTAATGGATACTACAGCCTATGGCAGAAAATGACCCAAGTAGGTCCTGGTCTTCGTATAGCCTCCCTACATTAGTACCTCCCGATATTGGGTATTTTGATGATATTAGAGACATTATTTACCGGAATTGTTTCAAATTTCGTATTTGAAGTTCGAAATGACAGAAAATTGTCTGTAAAGTCCCCATTTTTATACCCTCAGCCATATGGCTACAGAGGGTATATATCATTTGATACGGTCAAAACGTGCCTAGTCGAAATAACGGTTTTAGACCCTAGGTCTCTTTGGACCAAATCCGTTTCAGGACATTTGGAGTCGATCTATCTATGTCCGTCCGTCCGTCCGTCTGTCTGTCTGTCTGGCTGGCTGGTGCGCACGATAACTCTCGAAGGGAGTATCCGATTTGGTCCAAACTTTGTACATCGTAATATTATTGTCAAACTTAGATCGAGTTCGGAGATAGGCAATATCGGTCCACTCCTTCTGGTACCTCCCCCACAAAAGGTCGAAATTTTCAAAAAATATATTTTCTGCACAGAAAGAGAAATGATGATCCGATTTTGCTCCAACTTTGCGAATCCTAATATTTTTGTCAGTGCTAGGTCAAGTGCGAAAATGGACAATATTGGTCCACTCCATCAAGTACCTCCCCCACAAAAGTTCGAAATTTGCAAAAAATATATTTTCTGCACAGAAAGAAAAAGGATGATCCGATTTTGCTCGAACTTTGCGAATCCTAATATTTGCGTAAGTGCTAGGTCAGGTGCGAAAATGGACTATATCGGTCCACTCCATCAAGTACCTCCACCACAAAGGGTCAAAATTTTGAATAATTATAACTCTTATAAAATGTGATGTAAGGAACTAAACGTGTTAAAATTTCACACATCCCAATCTATAAACCTAAGATCTGGTGTTAACATTGACTATATCGGTTCACTCCTTCTGGTACCTCCCCCACAAAATGTCGAGCCCATGTGGCTCATAAAACGCCAAATTAACATCCGATTCCATTTAGACTTGGCACATCTGAATATTTCTATCAACACAAGATCTGTTATAAAGATGGTATAGATCGAACCATTTCTTCTGGTACCTCCCCCATACATAGGGTTCAAGATTTTGAAAAAAAAAAAACGCTCAAATAAATAAGCAACTCTCTGCAAATTTCAAACATACAAACATTTTTGCTAACACAAGATTTGTATATATCTTCGAACCCCTTCTGGCACCTCACCCACATAGTGTCACAATTTTCAATAATTTTATCTGTCATAACTTTCGAAACAATTCAGCAATTCTTTACTAATTGCTATGCCCAAATATTTCTCTCAATAAGAAGTCTGATATGAATATGAAATTTATCGGAATTTATGATTTCGCATAAAATACGAAATGGACAATATTGACCCATTCCTTCGGAACCTGTTGCATAGAGGGTCAAACGTTTGAATAATCGTAATACTAACCAAAATATATTTAAATAATCTAAGGCAGGCTGAGGGTATATATCTGTCGGCAATACCGACCGATACTTTTTAACTTGTTTTTTTTGATTTTAACGACATTATTTACCGAAATTATTTCAAATTTGGTCTTTGAAGTTCGTAATGGATACTACAGCCAATGTCAAAAAATTGTTTGTGCCGGTCTACATTTTATAACCCCTATAATCGGTATTTTGATGAATTTAGCTACATTATAAACAGAATTTTTGTCAAGTTTCACATTTGAATATTGTAATAGCTTATGACAATAGTTGCCTAAGCAGGTCCACGTCGTCGTATAGATTGCATTTTTATGGATTTATTTATTTTTTTAAATTTCCAATTTTTTCCAAATTCAAAGTTCGGACGAACTTACAGTTTTTTACTTGTTCTCTGATAATTTTTGGGTGCCTCCCAAGGCATCGAATATCAAACTTTCCCGGAATTAAAGTCGGTCTCTGTAAACAACATGTCCTTCTTCCTTTAGAAAAGCTCGATCCTTCGAAATACCCTTTTAAAATATATTTTATTTGATACGTTATAGGTATTTGAACAAGACATTAAACTGTTTGCTAAACTTGAAATATAACCACCAAAGAAACACCAATGGATTCCAACATTTAAACTTAAATAATAACCATAAAAAAAAAACACCAATGGGTTCCAACATTTAATTCTTGAAAATTTGCTTTTTCCAATCTACCGCCTATTACTACTGATGCAAAACATTTCAATGCCATACGTTATCTTCTTTACTTTTTCTTTTGCATGTACTTTCTTCTTGCCTTATAACCAATTTTTCTATTATTACATGCCAAAATAAAAAAGGGTAATTCAGGCCCATATAATTACTAACGCCGCCCCCACTAACAACTGCGTTCCCTGTACGCTGTCGCTTTTGTTCCAACAGCTCCGCTGCTAAAAACAAGAAAACAAAACATTTCTTTGAAATCATTCAAAAACGTCATGTTAAAATCTCCTTCCAATGCCCAGGAAATACGTTTACCGCGCCCTGAGCAACACAACAGCAGAGCTCAGTCGCCCGCCACCATGGACGCTCTGAAGACATCATTTCTGCCCAATTTGAGCATGGATCCCGCCCTTGTATCGAACACACATTTCTGCCCCATGTGTGGTCAACAGTTCGAAAATCCACAACAGACCACGGAACACATGCACCTGTGTCACGGCGGCCTCAGTGTGGTGGCTGGCGTGGGTGGTGGCAGTATATTGTTGGCGCCTCATCATGTCAGCATGGCGGATTCAATGAAAATCGATTATCCCTGTCATAGTTGCGATGAAAAATTTGGCACAGAGCAGGATTTGGACGATCATCATCGGCTGGTGCATCAGGCTCCGGCATTTCTGGCCCGTTGTCCGGCATGTAGTTTTTATGGTATATCACCGGCCGCCTTGCAGGGAGCCAACGAGTACAAGTGTATTCATTGTGGTTCCGTGTGTACAGCTTCCGCCCTAGCAGCTAGTCAACCGGGCTATGGACCCCAAACGCCGGAACATATGCCAACAATGGCGCCGCATGACATGAACTTATCCAATCATGAGCTATTTCAGCGCCAGTATCAGGAGCAGGTTTCCATATTGCAACAACATCAAGAGCAACAGGAACAACAACATTTGCAACAGCAACAGGAAGAATTAGAGCAGCAGCAACAACATCAAGAACAGCAACAGCAGCAGCAGCAACTACATCAAGAGCAACAGCAACAACAACAACACCATCAATCCCACCACCATCACCAGCCGGATGATAGCCCACATGAAAGCGTCCAATTAAAAGTGCCACCGCTAACAGTTAAACTGAATAAAGGCTTAAATGGTACTGCAACTGTGATTCACCCGCATGTGATAATCAAAGAGGAACCACTCAACGGTGATGGCATGGAGGGTTCGCCGACATCGGTGCCCGTCTATACCATCCAACAAAATCCCGGTGCTGCCACAAGTGTTGTGGTCAGTTCATCGCACGATCACTCAGCCGTCCTTAGCAATCAAGCAAGCGCCCTAACGACAACCGTAATAGTGGGTGGTGTGCCCAAGGTGCGCCACAAGTGTCCCGACTGTCCGAAAACCTTTAAAACCCCTGGTACATTGGCCATGCACCGCAAGGTGCATACTGGAGAAGCAGAGTAATGTTGAATATTTTCTATTTGTTATTTAATTTTTAAAATTATTTTATTTATTTAAATGATCTACTTTATCTCAGGTGTTTCAGCATTTTGTTGCGTAAAGGAGGAACGTGGGTTTGCCTTGCATTCTCATTTTAAGTGTTCTCATGAAATTTCGTCTCTTGCATTAAATTTATGATGATGTTGGATCTCTTTTTATACTCTACACCACATAGTGGTAAGGGCATGTCAGGCCGTCTATGGATTTCGCAATAATTATCCGAAATGAAGTTCGCAATAATTATCCGATTGAGATGAAATTTTCCAAACAATATTAGATTGGCCCAAGGACGAACCCTACTGAAATTGGAGATAATCGGATCAGTTTTAGATATAGCTCTCATATATATTTTCAAGCGATTTCGGGTTAATTGTGCACCAAATGGCCAATATTTGTCCAAATGACCTGAATTTTGGTATATCCGACCTAATTCAGTCTTGAAGCAAGTACATCAAATGTGGTGAAAATCGGTTCAGATATAGCTATAGCTCATATATATAGGTTTCATTCGATTTGGGGTTTTAAGTCCCTCACATTCGTAATATGCATTCGACAACAATGATATTTGGTAGCAGATACCAGACACAGCCCAGAAATACCTCTGCCAAATTTTATTAAGATCGGTTCAGATTTGGATATATCACCCATATATATTTTCAACCGATTTTGGGGTTTTTTGTTCACCAAATGGCCAATATCAGTCCAAATGACCTGAATTTTGGTATATCCGACGGAATTCAGTCTTGAAGCAAGTACATCAAATGTGGTGGAAATCGGTTCAGATATAGCTATAGCTCCCATATATATGTTTTATCCGATTTGGGGTTTTAAGTCCCTCACATTCGTAATATACATTCGACCACAATGATATTTGGTACCAGATATCTTATAGAGCTGGGAAATACCTTTGCCAAATTTTATCAAGATCCGCTCAGGTTTGGATATAGCTCCCATATATATCTTCAACCGGTTTCGGAATAATTATACACCAAACGGCCAATATGAGTCCAAATGACCTGAATTTTGTTATATCCGACCGAATTCAGTCTAGAAGCAAGTACATCAAATGTGGTGAAAATCGGTTCAGATATAGCTATAGCTCCCATATATATGTTTCATCCGATTTGGAGTTTTAAGTCCCTCACATTTGTAATATGCATTCGACAACAATGATATTTGGTTCCAGATATTTAATACAGCCCAGAAATACCTCTGCCAAATTTTATCAAGATCGGTTCAGATTTGGATATAGCTCTTATATATATTTTAAACCGATTTCTGGTTATTTGTGCACCAAATGGCCAACATCAGTCCAAATGACCTGAATTTTTGTATATCTGACCGAATTCAGTCTAGAAGTAAGTACGTACAATTTGGTGAAAATCGGTTCAGATGTAGCTCCCATATATATGTTTCATCCGATTTGGGGTTTTAAGTACCTCACATTCGAAATATGCATTCGACAACAATGGTATTTGGTACCAAATATCTTAATGATCTTCGGCTAAGATTTGTATATAGCTTCCATATATATATCCTTAAGCCGATTTCAGGCTTATTGTGCAAGTAATGGCTAATATCAGCCCAAATGGAGTGAATTCCGCGACGTACGTTTCCATTTTGTGGAACTCGGATCCGAAATATATTTTTGTAATATAATCCTTCTCGAAATGATATCATGTCCTCAAATTAAGTGAAAATTGTTCCAGAATTGGATATGCCTCGCATTTGAAACCAAATTGTAACTGCTCTAAAGCCAAATGCTGATGGGTGGTATGATCTACTTCAAATAAATTATTTTGTTACGGGAACTCTACTAAATATGCATTGTGGTGTAGGGTATCATATAGTCGGCCCTGCTCGCCTTTTGACTTTTCCTTAATGGTCTTTCATTTAGCTTCCTTGGTCTTGACGCTCTCGGAGCCAGTTGGAGTACTGCGATGGCGTCTTTTCACTGGTATGTGGACTCTTGAGTTTCATTTGACAGCCCTCTTAAAGCTTGATGGCATCTGATTTACTTCCTTTAAAAGTTTACCCCATTTTTGGAAGGTCGGCTCTACCATCCTTTACTTTCGTAGTCAACAAATATTGTAGATTTTGCGAAACAAATGCTGAAACACATATTAATTTTTGAAAATATTCTCTTATGTAGTTCTTATATAAATTTTTAATAATATTTGATCTCTATTTTAATCCCCATCATCGACAAAAAATTAAAACTATAGCCTCACACCGAAAGAACGCCCCTACACATGCTCATACTGTGGCAAATCATTTACACAATCGAACACATTAAAGCAGCATACGCGCATACACACAGGTGAGAAACCCTTTAGATGTGGCTATTGTGGCAGGGCGTTCACAGTCAAGGACTACTTGAACAAACATTTAACAACTCACACGGGTGAGAGAATATAATTTTTTCAAATGAAAACTCAGATATATCCTTCAGTCAGTCAATCAATCAATCTCAGTCTCAATCTCAGTATCAGCCTCAGTCAATCAACCAAATCTCAGTTTCTCAAAACAAAAACAAAAAATCAGCTTTCTTTTTTGTAATCCAAAAAACAAACGAAATTTCAAACAATTATATTTAATGCAATTTTGATATGAAATTTTTATGCACCAATTTGGTTTTAATTTTTGCAACAGCAACAACAAAAATTTGTTCACAGTCATACAGTCAGTTGTCCAATACTAAAAAATGCATTTTCAATTAATTTTGTTTAACGATTTTCTTAAATTTCCAAAAACTACTTCAGAGCATTTTATTGTGTGACCTACTAGCCTCTCATATATTAACATTCAATATCCATTGAAAGAAAACAATTTTTCCCATTCAAATCTTCTTGTGACTCAAAACGCATTTGCAAACCATTTCTTCTCATTGTTTTTGTTTGTCGTATTACTTACCAACATTTAATTCACCCTTCATACTTTTTTTCAAAATATTATTCGTTATCACATCTGTCTCTGTTTGCTGCGCGCATCAATGCAAGAATTCGTTCCATCATGCAAATGTTTTTTTTTTTTTGTTTCCATTTCCATTTTTGCGCCATTGGAAATCAATTGTGTTGTTTTGTTTCGTCCAAGAATCGAATAAAAATCACCAAATATTTGAGTTTCATTTTAAATTCATGCACGTTATGCATTTAAGTATTCTTATTGAAAAAAAAAAACTTTATCCATGAAAAAAGTGTTTTGAAGTGATTTTTATATTAGCAAATTCGAATTTCGTTTGCCAATTTTATGTTTTTCAAAAAGTCCAAAAACCGAAACGTACGAAAATCAAATCAATCAAACAAATTAAGACAAGAATATTTATTTGCAATAAAAAAAAAACAAACGTCTTACCATTTTTTCACCTCCACAACCACCACATCAAGTCTAATTTTAATTTATCAAAAAAACCAAAACTCATTCATTCAATAATTAACAGACAGAAAAGGTTAAATAAAACAAAGGCATTGTTTTAAGTCCAAATAATTACAGTATCAAATTTTTTATTGGTATAGGTTTAATAATTTTATAATATTATATTTTAAAAGTACTATTTTCAATTGTTGAATTTACAGCTTCATTAACATTTAGTATTGAACAGACCATAGTTCTCAGCTCGAGTTCAAGTGTTTTTTATACCCTCTACCATAGTATGGATGGTATATTAAGTTTATCATTCCGTTTGTAACACCTCGAAATACACATTTTAGACCCCACAAAGTATATATATTCTTGATCAGCATAAAATTCTATGTCGGTTTAGCAATGTCCGTCCGTCTATACGTCTGTCCGTCTGTGGAAATCACTCTAGCTTCCGAACGAATTGAAGTAGAGTGATAAAAAAATACTCAAATGTATGTTATGTCTGCAGGACTTTTGGGTCATGTAGGTTCACGTTTTCGTATAGCCCCCATATAACAGTACCTGCCGATATGCGGTATTTTGATGATTTTAGCGGCATTATTTACAGGAATTGTTTCAAACTTGGTATTTGAAGTTCGTAAAGGATACTACAGCCTATGACAGAAAATGACCCATGTAGGTCCACGTCTTCGTATAGCCCTCATATAACGGTACCTCCCGATATTCGGTATTTTAACGATTTTATGGACCTATTTTCACCAGAATTGTTTCAAATTTGGTATTTGAAGTTCGTAATGGATACTACAGCCGATGACAAAAAATTTTCTGTGCAGGTCCACCTCTTCGTAAAGCCCCCATATAACGGTACATCCCGATATTCGGTACTTTGATGATTTTAGCGACGTTATTTACCGGAATTGTCTAAAATTTGGTATTTAAAGTTCGTAATGGATACTACAGCCTAAGACAGAAGATTGTCTGTGCAGGTCGACGTTTTATATCCCCCATGGTACCTCCCGATATTCGGTATTTTGATGATTTTAGCTACATTATTCAACATTTTTTTTTCAAGTTTCGCATTTGAATATTGTAATAGCTTATGACAAAAGTTGTCTATGCAGGTCCACGTCGTTGTATAGACCCTAATATACGGCCACATTCGGTATTTTTAAGATTTTAACAGAATTTTTAATGGATTTTATTTTTTTTTTGAATATTGCCAAATTTATAGCTTTTTGACTTGTTTTTTTTATCAAACTTGATGATGATCGGATCTACGTTTCAAAAGAATATTAGAGTTCCTATCTCCCACCTGTCCTTTGTTAGATAATATGGGACATCTGTATAGAAGAAGTTCGATCTAGTCTACTAGGAACACTGTTATCCTATGTTACGATATCTGAAACTGCAGTGGCCAGTCAGAATTTCTGCCGCGACTCTTAGATCAGACCAATAAGTGATAGAAGTTAGTTTTTTCTTCATCGAGATACCGATCAGACGATCTTAGATACTCTACAATCGTTCTCTAAGTTATAGCTTCTTTGATGAGAATTTGTTTGAAGCAATCGAATAGAAACCTCCCAGAGCTATTTCATCTGCCACCCCATTACCTGCCATGATATGTAACATCATGGATCTATGCCCAATATTTCGAGGTGGTCCAAACCTTTTTGTCCAATCAAGCTTATAATACCCCCAACGCATAATGTTCCTGAGTATAAAAATTAAAATATAAACTATTGGTCTGTTCCAGAACTGCAAGAATGTAAAAGTTTTTACTATAATAACCGATTTTCTCTTTATGATATCGAAGAAAATTGCAAAATTGGTAGATTCTTACAGGTGCTGTAGCAGACCATATAAAATTTAAAAAAATAAAAAAATTTAAAAATATATATATGAATTTATTTATTTAATCATATCTTTTATAAAGAGTGATATATCAAATTGGATTCAAAAAATTTTAAAATCAAATCCAAACTTAACTCAAAACAGTGCCTTGTCTATTTAACCTTTTTGTGACAATATTTTTCAAAACAATAATTGCTTGACAGTTTCTTCTCCCCTTCAAGAAACTGTTAACAATATTGTTTAACTAGAGAAAAACAATATTTATTTACTTTTTTTCTGTCTTCTTGTTCTTCCTTCATATTCCAGGCGAGAAACCTTTTCAGTGCACCTATTGCGAAAAGTCGTTTAGTGTCAAAGACTATCTAACCAAACATATACGCACACACACTGGTGAAAAACCGTACACATGCCCGTATTGTGAGAAACGATTTACGCAGCGCAGTGCCCTAACGGTGCATACGACCAAGCTACATCCACTCTACGAAAGGCCCAATGGTGTTGGGAGTGGGGGTATTGGTGGTGGTGGCGGTGTCGAGCGTAGAGGAGCAGCTGGAGGTGGTGGTGTAGGTAATAGCGATATGGGCAGTAATAGTGCTGGTGGTGGCATTGGAACATCTGTTGGTAACCTTGTTGCTGGAGGTGGTGGTGGTGGCGGCGCTGGTATTGTAACATCTGCTGGTGGCGGCGATAGCAGCAGTTGTGGTGGTGATGCTGAAGCTGATGACGGCACCAATGATGGCCACATTTTAATTAATAGGAATCCCATACGCCAAGTTTTATGAGTACCAACAATAGCCCTACAACGCTCAACAGTTGTAGTGGACAGTGAAACACAAACTACTCCAACCACTGAGTAATTTGGCAGACAAATTGTTACAATTTAACGTCCACATGACCACTTCATTGCCCCCCCGCCCGGTTTTGTGTTACTTCTCTTAAAAACAAAAAAAAAAAAAACAAATATGGGAATTGTGTAATATTTCTTTACGAAAGAATGATAGAAAAGATAAAAAATAAAAAGAAACGAGAATAGTTTTATAATAATTATTATTTTTTAAAGAAATAAAATCGCTTATATTTTTTTTTTGTTATAGTCAAAGTTTAAAAAACAAAATAAGACACCCTTTGTTAACTACTATTATTATTATTAATGATAATACAAAAACAAAAAACAATACAACAACAGCAACAATCATAATAAGGAGTTCTCTTCAATATTTTTTCTCACGAAGTTTGGAACTCTGTAAAAAAATGTTTTATTAGACTTCACTCGTATGTAATAAGCGTAATGATAAATGAAAACGAAAAACAAATTACAAAAAAAGAAATTTTTATCTTCTTGATGATCTATAGCTTAAAACAAAAACAATCTAAAAATAATTAAAAAAAAGAAAAATTCAAAAAAAAAATATTTATTTTTCATTATAGATTTTGTTTTGAAATTTATTTTTATATATAAAATATTGTTAAAAATGTAAATGCTGTTATCATTGTATCAATTTTTATTATTTTTTGTTGTTCTTTGATATTGTTTTCGATGACGATTTTTTTATTTTTTTAATTGTTTACTCGATTTTTTAAGACATACTCTATATATATTTTTGTTCTCTTTTTTAAAAAATTAAATTAAATTATTATTATTTTGTTTTAAAATAATTATTAAAATTAAATTTATAGAAAAAAACTGAAACTGAAACAAATTAAAAAGAATTATTGAAATTTAATTTCAATGTTGCGGATGATGATCATCTTTTTTTTTTTGTAGTCATAAAACTTGGTTTAGTATTTTAGTCGTCTTCTTTTTTTTCAATTATTTGTTTTTTTATTTCTCAAGCAAAAAAGTGATGATGTTTTTTCTTATTTTATTAAAAGTAGACAATGAAATGTCTCAACATGAGCAGGATCTCGGTTGGTTTTTACAACAATTTTATATATATGTTTTAAAATTTTTTTATTATTATTATAATTAAAACTATAGCTTTATATATTTAACATAAATAATTATTTTTTTTTGTTTTGCTTTTTTAATTTATTGTTTAGCGTTATTTTTTCAAATTTTTACAAAATTTATTTGTTTTGCTGTTTTATTTTTATTTTTCTATATTTTGCTTTATTAACCTTTGAAAAATCATTATTAATTAATTAATTTTGTAAAAAACAAAAAGTGAACAACTTGAAAGAAACAATTTTACTCAAAAAACAAAAACGCATGTTGTCTGATAATAATAATAAACAATTATATTTCTAATTTTAAGAAGAGTATCAAAAAAACAAAACAAAAATTTGTGATATTTAAAAGGTACTAGTGCTACCGCTCTGCTTAGCTTTCTTCTTTTTACAAAATAATAATTTAAACAACAAGAAACAAAACCATATTAATCTAAAATGTAAACCTTTTTGCTACAATTACGAAAATACTAACCATAATAAAAACAAAAACAAACAAAATGAGAATGCCTCTTTTCACAATAACCAAAAAACAACAACATTTTTTTCAATCTTTTATTACTTGATTTCTGTAACTATTATTTGTTAAGATTTGCGTTCCTTTTCAAATTTTTGGTTTTATTTAAAAAAAGTCTCGTCCTTCGATGTTTTGTATTTTTAAAGAAAAAATATCATATTCGAAAAATTATCATAGATCTGGATTCCAAAAATATGTGATCTTTAAAATAGCATAGGTATTTTACCAAGCAGATTTTCATACTACCTAAAAATAGCTAATTCACGTTTTCGGAAAAAACAAATTTCATTTTCATGGTTCTTGAACAGAGAAAATATTACAGAAAACTAGTTAAAGAATATCAGTCGGTATAGCCGACTGATAGGTATTTTACCAAGCAGATTTTCATACTACCTAAAAATAGCTAATTCACGTTTTCGGAAAAAACAGAAATTTCATTTTCATGGTTCTTGAACAGAGAAAATATTACAGAAAACTACTTAAAGAATATCAGTCGGTATAGCCGACATAATGATACCTTTATCCTTTTATTCAAATATATTTTGACATATTATATTAAATTTTGACCCACTGTGGGAGAGCTACCGATGTACTACTCCATTTCCTTAATCTGATATAATTCTTGGAGGTGCCAACTTTGGATAATGTGTATATACTTTTTTATACTTTGTATATACTTTTTTGGGAAGTCACCAGAAAGACATATCCCATATACAGTTTTTTTTAATCGCTGATTTGTTTCGCATGTATAAGGGTTATAATTATTTACAATGTTAAAAAGTAGAAAAGTGGAGAAAAAGATACCAGCGTGAGTGGGCCCATAAATTTCATATTCAGATTAGATCTTTTGTTGGTAAAGATATTGTAATATACAAGATTTGAACAAAATTGCTGATATATTTCGCATGTTATGGAGTTATAATTATTCAATATTCACTTATTTCACAATTTGTAATTATTATTATTGTGCAAAATGTTGACCCGTCGTGGAGGAGGTATATCCCATCTTTTTTAAATTTTGACTTTTGTGGAGGAGGTACCAGAAGGTGTGAGCCAGTATATCCCATTTGCACATCATATCTTGTAATGGTTAAAATATTTAAAAATTTAAAGAAAATCTGATGCATATTTCGCATTTAATGAGCGTTTTAGATATTCCAAATTTTGAACCTTTGTGGCTAAGGTATTCAAAGGAGTGGTACGATATATCCCATCTTCGCATCAGATCTTGTTTTGGTAGAAATATGGGTATGTGCAAAGTTTGAAAATAATCGGATGCTTATTTCGCATTTTATGAGCATTTAGTTTTTCAAAATTTTGACCTTTTGTGGGGGAGGTACCAGAAGGTGTGGTCCGCTATACTCCCGTTTTTTTAATGGCAAAAATATTGGTATGTGTGAAATTTGAAGAGAATCTGCATTATATTTCAGGTCCAAACGACCTAAAGCTTTTTTATTTTAAAGAGCCATGGGAATGTAAAAATATGTTTCGATGCGGCAGATTTTAGCCATATGGAATGATACACAAAAAGCCTTCCTTTTAATCTCAGAGAGAGAGGGAGAGAGAGTAGAAGGAAAGAAAACAAGTCAGAAAATTTCAGTCTGTGTTCCGAAATTATGTATTCTCAGCATTTGACAATTTAGGGATGTCTTTTGACTAAATCTAATGTTAGTAGAAATATTGCAGTGTGGAAACTCCATGGTGGAAGAGATACCACAAGGAGTAGACAGCCACAACTTCATTCGATATCTGACGGTATTATATTGAGACATTCGAAATTTGAATATATTCACATTTCACGATTTTATTGGCATTCAAATTGTTATCCTTTTTGGATGGTGGTATTAGAAGCAGTGGACAATATTTTCCCTTTCCGATGCTGACCAAAGCTGTGGACTAAGTTTAAACTATGTTGCGAACTCTCATCGTTTTGAATGAGATATATGTACAATTTTTTTGAAGGGTTGAAGCTTTGTGTGTGTGTTTTTTTTTTTTTTGGACAACTTTATCCATTTTCACACCTGACCCCAAACTTATCTATGTACAACAATTTTTCAAGTAGTCCTTTCACTCAAAACCGGCGGCCCAGATATATTCCAAAGTTTTTGAACGAGAGTTGCTATCCACTGTGAACCTAAACCATCAATTGCTGTTCATTCAAAATTTTAAGTTGTTCAGTTCTCATTTTTACAGCTTTGGATTGGTCTTCTACATATTTTTTTTAAGTATGAAATTATATCCAAATTTTTCTTAGTTGCTCACAATTCAAATCTTGTTTTTTTATTTATTTCAGTTGTCATTTTCAATTTTATGTCTGATTCAATTTTTACAACAAAAACCAAAACAACAACTACAACTCAAACAAAAATGGAAACAAGCAAAGCACAAGACAATTTTTTATATAAATATTTATTAATTATAAAATACCATTCAATTTAATAATATAAATAAAAAAAGAAGAAAACAAAACATGTAAAAATATAAAAAAAAAACAAATACAAATTTTAAATATTTTTTTAATGACTTGTAATATCTAAAACGTTTAATTAATGACAATTTTTTAAACTCATTATAATAACTTATTATAAAAATATTAGCAACAATAAAAGAAAACAAATATCCTTTAGCAATAATAGAAGAGAGAATTAGGGCCGGTGTCTGTATGGCGTAAGAAAAATGAAAGAAAGACGTCAATTCTATGTGTGTTTTTAATTTTTTTTAAATATATTTTATTCGAATCAAGATAGAAATTAAATAACATGCATAGAATTCATTGTCTTTTTAATTTTCTTCGACTTACGGAAACTCGTCCTAAATCTTCATGCGCAATGTTTATATCAAAAAAACAACAAAACAACTCCAAAATCTAACTTGTAAAAATATTTTTGGTAAATTAAATAAGAGTGCAATATGGATCCATGTTACATAGCTTGTCTAATTTTATTTATTTTTTTTTTTGGACACGAAGAACCGTGAAAGAAAGTTTTCTAAAAAACATATTTATTTTTTTTAATTTCTGCTAAAAATATGTTTTTAAAAAAAAAAAAAACTTCCTTGAAACTTCCCATATTATAAGCAAAAATATTGAAACTATTCTTTGAAATATTTAATTTTGTTATAACCTCTATTCTATAGTTCATAATTTGGTCCTGGCCAAGTAATTTGATTTTGTGTAAATTAAGGAACAAGAAGAAGATGAGATGACTTAGGAAATCGTTTCTGTTCTTCCTTTTTTATATTATTCATGTATGCAATACAGAAAACAACTGTCTAAAAAGTACAATTTTGATAATTTAAATAAGTTTTTCTCTAGCACTCTCCACTCTGTAAAAATTGTAATTTTATTTCGAAACATTTTAAAAATAATTCTTTTTGTTATGATTACTTTAAAGATGCCTTAAATTAAGGATCCCTACAAATCATTGGTATTCGAACCCCCCCATAAATTTCCTAAAACATATGGAATGTATGTATGTAGTTAACTATGCGTAGAAATCCATAAACCCAAAAGCAAAACACCAATATACAATTAGTATTAAAAAAAACAACTAACAAAAAGCTATGAAAAATAAGCCTACAAATAGTTATTTCTTTTATTTTTTTAACTAAACTAAAAAAGTAGATGCTAACTAAATGAATAAGATTTAATTTTTATAGCAAAGGCCTAAAAACAATAACAACTATGTAAAATATATTCAATCAAGAAGCAACACAACACACAATTTAGTTCCAAGCCAGAAGAAGAAACACAAACTCTTATACAAAATGTATTCTCTATTAAATGCAATAATCTACTATTTAAAATATCCTTTGTACAATATCGATTGTACATTACAAATTACTTTTAAATAATTTCCAATTTATAAATAAATAACAACAAATCAAGAGCAACAACATCCATGCAAAAAAACTAAACTACAACAGCAATTGAAAAGATTATAAAGTAAATCCAAGTAGCATGAAAAAAGAAACTAATAAAAAAAGAAATGAATAAACAAAATATTTTATCTGGTAATTTTAAATCTGTATAAAGGTACAAGGAAGGGACAAATCCCTAGACATTTTTGAATATCAATTTACATTATTGCAGCGTTACGCTAAGAATACTTTCACTGCTGTACGTTACGTCTGCGATAATTACACTACTCACGGTTGTCATGTCATTAGACAAAACACAGACACCTTGGCAACTCTGCAACAACCCCGAAGAGAAAATAGTATTTTTTTATTTAATTAAAAATGTGTGACGTGCTCGGTTAGATTGCTTAAATTGTTGATAAAAACCTCCGCGGAAGATCGTTAATTAGTGATAAGATAAATCTGTATGTTACCATAAGGGTAATATTACAAAAAACGTCGTGACAAAATCCACAAGCAATTGACCCACATATATATCCAAAACATACAAATTGAGGTTATGTTGATGGAAAATTAAGAAAGTATATTACTTTTCTTCTGTTGTTGAATATATACATAAATTAAAAACATAATGAAATTAATGCAAATTGCATTAATACTATGTTGTGCTGTAGCAACATATAATTTTGCTGTCGTTGCGGCCGCTTCGTCATTCGAAGATAATGACTTTGCAGAATTTGAAGATTTCGACAGTGATGATGATTTTGTAGAGGTTCCAGTTACCGTGGGAGGTGGAGCACCTGCCGCTTCGAAAGAAGTGCCAGTCAAAGAAAAGGAACCAGTGGTCAAAGCAGCACAAATCCAAGACGACGAGGAAGATGGCATTGTCGAGGATGAAGATGAATTCTTCAAAGACGACGAAGAGTTTGAAGGTTTCGATGCGGGTGAGATCAAAGAGGAAACTGGCAAGAAACCAGCCGAACCCAAATTGACCGTGGCCAAAATCCCCATGCATTTCAGGTGGGCTACATATACAAACAAATTTTAGTATTTTTCATATTCATTAATTTTGTTTACTTACCCTCAGAACCCATTGGGATTCCTATTGGATGGAAATGCTAATGCTGGCCGGTCTCATGGTCTATTTCACCAATTTCTTTGCTGGCAAAGCCAAAAATGCCAAGCTGGCTCAATTGTGGTTGACCACACACAAGGGTCTGCTGGATGACAATTTTGTTTTGGTTGGCGATGACGGCAAGGTGGAAAATGAGAATCCTGGTCTCATGAAAGAGAGTGAAAGTCTATACACTCTTTGGTGTTCGGGTCGCACCTGCTGTGAGGGCATGTTGGTCGAACTGAAAATGATAAAACGCCAAGATTTGGTGTCACTTATTGCTGGCCTGATGCGGCCCCAACAAGATCAAGTCCATATCAAAGTTGATTTAACACGCGGCGTAATGGATCCATTTGTATTCTGTGTTGGCACAAAGAAAACAATAACCAAGGCCTTTAAAGAATATGCCGATTTGGTAAGTTAAGATCGAAGTGGCTTTTATATAGCTAGGTTGTAATTTTCTTTTGTTCGTATTTATTGCAGAGCAAATATTGTACTCTAGTCAGTAAGCCAGAGACACGCTACAATGTGCCAGCTGGTTTTAGTGTATTATCGGAAATTCCCGAAGCCACATCTGCCATATTGGAGAACCGTATTATCACGGCTCTCAGTAGATACCAACAATATATAGATTATATTCATATCTCGGATCAGTACAGTGGTCCCGTACAAGTCGAAGATGCCAATAATTTGAAACAACCTGAAACTAAACCAGTACTTATGGCTGGATTTAACTTACCCAAAAATGGTGATATGGAGGCTGTTAAACCATTGTTGATACTCATATTTTATTTAATGGAACGTCTTAAGGGTTATCGTCTATCGAAGGAGGTATGTCAAAGAAAATAATTCACGTAACTTCAATATTATTTTTTTTTAATCTTATTAGGGTCAACAAAAAGCCGAAAAGAATCGTAGCCGTGTCGAAGAAGAATTCCTAAAAAGCACCCATGCTGCACGCGCCGAAGCCGCTGCCCAGCGCCGTGAAGACAAACGCAAGGCTGAAAAAGAACGTATTATGGCCGAGGATGATCCCGAAAAGCAACGCCGCTGGGAAGCCAAGGAACAAAAACGCCAGGCCAAAAAGAAGGCACCCAAAATGAAACGTTTGGCTGTCAAATCACTTTAATTGTGATTGATTTCTTCAAAAACGAAACGAACTTTTTCCCAAGCCAATTTTATTCATTTATCATAAAATTAATCGTATACAATTTGTCGGATTAGTTTCATTGTAGCTTTATTGGAAAAAATGGGCCGATATTTAAATATTTTAAAACGCATTAACTTATTTCATTAATAGGGGATGTCATACATTTTTTTGGCCAATTAATAAATGTGTATTTAATTTAGATGACTGACTGAATGTTTCTTTTTAACACTTGGCTGGAAAACAATTTTCATTGGACATATAGGCAATGTGATTCCGCAAAGTTTTAATTTGTTTTTGGGCCGCATCAAAGCTATAGGACAGATTGTTCAGCTGTCCCTGCATTTCACGTATAACACATTCACGGTCGCCCACCGAAAGACTGGCCGTAGCTCTACATTGAACCAGTTGTTTTTCTAGGCAATTGATGTGATCTTGCTGTTTTTGCTTTATCAACTCAAATCTTTCATTCATGCGAGCAATAATTTTGGCCGATTCAGCGCGTAAACAGCTTAAATCTTCTTGGGCCACATTTAGTTGTTCACAGAAGAGATCTCGTTGACGTTGAGTTTCTTCCAACAATTTTTTTGTTTTCTCCAAGTCGTGTTGACATTTTTGTAGCTGAGTTTTCAAATCCTCACCGCCAACGCTCGAGGGACTGGCTTTATTTTTATGTGTTTTCAATTCTTTGCACACAATAAGAAGTTTATTTTCCAGTTCCTCTTTTTCTTTGCATAATTTGGCAACTTTGATTTGTTCATTTTCCAAAAGTTTTGGCAACTTTACCAACTCATTTAATTTTTCTTGGAATTTACATCGTATATCTTTAATTTCTAAATTAATTTGTTTTTCTATTCGTTTATTGTTCATATTGAGTTTTTCTATCAATGCCCCTTGTTCTTCGACTTTTTGTTGGGCTTTCAAATACTTGTTGCGATAGTCTTCCAATTGTGTGGATTGCTCTTTCATGAGACACTTGAATTCAATTTGTTCTTCCTTCAAATCATTTATGCGATTTGTTAACAGCTGTATTTCGGAAGCATCGGCATTTTCCCCAGCAGAACCGCAGGAATTTTTAACTCTAAAAAAATGTTTGAAAACAAAATTGGTTTAGATTTTATAAAGAAGATGCCACAAAATGCAGATTTTGTCAATAATAAAGATTCCCACAAAACTAGCGTTTTAAAGAGATTTTGTCAAGGACCAACAAATCTCCCAAAGTGAATTTTTGAGGAATAAGGACCAAAACTTAGAATTGAATACAGATTGTTAAAAAGTTGTTCAAGAACCAACTGATTTTCCAGGAGCCAAAGATCAAACAATGTTTTTTTTTTAAGGCCCAAGAGACCTGAAAATTTAGGTTTATAAATAGATTTTCATAAGGATGAACCGAACCCCAAATGTGGATTTGTAAATCGATTTTTAGAGGGTAAAATTGGATTTTTTCAAGAATAATTGTAGATTTTTTTCCAAAAATTTCTCATGGACCATTAGAGCTACAAACGTGGAATTTTTGTAAATGAATTCTTTCAAGGACAAACATGAATTTTTTTAATAAATTTCTTAAGGACCATTCGAGCTACAAACGTGGATTTTTTAAATTGGATTTTTCTAAGGACAAGCAAGGACTTTTTTAAATAAATTTCACGGAGAAAATCGGCAGATTCTTTATCGGCTCAGGTGAATATTTCTTGATTTCAAAATCGGACTTTCTTTTTATACCATCCACCATAGTATGGAGGGTATATTAAGTTTTTTCATTCCGTTTGTAAAACACCTCGAAATATACATTTTAGATCCCACAAAATATATATTATTGATCAGCATAAAATTCTATGTCGATTTAGCGATGTCCGTCCGTCTATCTGTGGAAATCACTCTAGCTTCCGAACGAATTGAGTTTGAAATTGTTTGAAATGTATATTATGTCGGCAGGACTTTTGGTATTAGGCCATGTAGGTCCACTTTTTTTTTTGTATAACCCCCATATAACGGTACCTCCCGATATTCGGTACTTTGTTGAGTTTAGATACATTATTCACCGGAATTCTTTCAAATTTGATATTGGGTACTACAGCCTACGTCTTCGTATGGCCCCATATAACGGTACATCCCGATATTCGGTATTTTGATGATTTTAGCTACATTATTCGACAATTCTTTTTAAGTTTCGCATTTGAATATTGTAATGGCTTATGGCAAAAGTTACCTCCATGTCGTCGTATAGACCCTTATATAACAGCTACATTCGGTACTTTTAGCATTTTAACAGAATTTTTAACGGATTTTTATTGTTTTTGAGAATTGCCAAATTCCTTCCAAATGGTGGAGGGTATTCAAAGTTCGTTTAAAATACAAGAACAAGGAGCTACAAACGTGGATTTTTTTTTTAAATAAAATTTTCAAATGCCCTTGGAGCTACAAAAGTGGATTTTTTCAAGGACAACGACGAAGACCATTTGAATTAAAAACGTGGATATTCTAGAACCAATGTTTCAAAGACCATTTGGGATAAAAACTTTGATTTTTTTAAGTCGATTTTTTCAAGGACAAACGTGGATTTTTTCAGGGGCAAACGTGAATTTTTTTAAAATAAAATCTTCAAAGACCATCCAAACCTATATTTTTTAGGAGGATTTTTTCAAGGACAAACGTGGATTTTTTCATGGGAAAACGGGGATTTTTTTTCAAAAAAAAATCTTCAAAGACCATTGGAGGTACAAACCTGAGTTTTTTAAGTGGATTTTTTTCAAGAACAAACGTAGAGTTTTTAAGAGAACTTTTTCAAGGACAATCTTTGATTTTTTAAAAGGATTTTTTTCAGGTTAAACGTGGATTTTTTTAAAATAAAATTTTCAGTGACCATTAAAGCTGAAATAAGTTATTTTTCGAGGAGCAACAGCGTATATATTTACCTTTTGGTTAGATCCTTCAGCTCCTTTTCCTTTTTACTAAATTCTTGCAAAAGATAGGCATAGTTATCCTTGAGCTTATCAAAATTTTGACTTTTGGCAGATTGACATGGTGGTTTGGCGGTCGAGCAGCATTCCTTTTTCGAACCACTCTCCTTGCGATGGCTACAAATTTCCTGCTTTAGATCGTCTATCGTCTGCTGCATTGTGTGTAATTTTTGTTTCAACAACTCCACACTTGGGTCCTTTGCATTCGCTTTGGATTTACAAGATTTCTTTGGCTGCTTATTAGAACAACCATCGTAACTCTGTAATGTGGCCAAGATTTCGTTCATCAACTTCTGATCCTCCGATTCGCAACGATCGGCTTCATCTTGATAGGAACAAGATTTCTCGCTGGTGGTGGTATCACCGCCGGAAGCCCGCCAACGACGACAAACGGGCGGTTCTCTTTTATTGCTCGTGGAGTGTGAGCCATGCACCTGTATTGGATCACAGTGCATTGTTGGCATGGATAACATTGGTTCCTCATCGAATGTTGTGACCAATTCAATCTCCCTGTAATGACGACGAGAACCGAAATTTTGCAAATGCATTGCTTTGATGGTGAGATCCCGTAATTTATGTGTCTCTTTGTCCATGCATTCTTGAAGATTTCTCAAGTGCTGTTTTTGCTCCGAGGAAAGCGTGGCCGTGGTGGATTTACATTGCAATTTCCTTATTTCATTTTTGATATCTTCTATTGTGACATTTTGACAATGGATTTCCTTTTGCAATCTTTTGTATTCCTTGTAGTTTCGGGCTCTCTCGGGATCATCTGCAGATTCTCCCATTAATGGATCATCTGGCTCTGAGTCATCATCGGCTTCTCTTTCCAAGTCCTCTAATTGTTCTGCGGGAACAAAAGAATCTCCAGGGACGTCACCATCATCGGCTGGACTTTCCTCCATTGGAGCATCAATAAAAGTTTGATCTTCTTCGCTGGCCATTATTTTTTTTTTTTGGAAATTTTCACTTTAAATTACTTGAAATTTTGATTTGTTACTAAATTTTCATTTAACTTTATTTTTTTATAAAAAAATTTTGAGTCATAAAACTAAGCTTGTTGTGAAATTACAAAATTCTGAAAACAAGTAGATTCTGGTAGGGTAAGAAAATTTTTATTTTAAAATATTGGCCTTATGTTAAAAAAAACTTGAGTGAATTTTTATTAAACATTATTTTCTAACCTATAAATCTTCCCAACATTTATATACCAAAGGAAAATAGATATTTTACAAAAATAATATTTAATAAAAATCAGTCTCCTCACATCAATTTTACATTAATTCAAGAAGTCTCCTCGAGTATTCGATTCCTGGCCACTGCATCCCGGGAATTGCTACCGGTCATATTGTATATATGACGCCTGAGAATACGTATGTGCTTTTGGGATACCTCAAAATTGTGTACCAAATTATTCAGCTGAGTTTGTAGCTCCGCTATGAGGGCATCACGTTCCTTGACCAAACTGCTGGCCGAAGTTTGACTGCGATTCAATTTCAATTCCAGCTCATAGATGCGTCGTTGGAGATCACGTTTCTGTTTTTCACTCTGTTCTCGTTGTCGGGTAATGGAACGTTTATTGGAATTTTCCAGAATTTGCATTTGATCGCGTAATTTTAGTAATTCCTCATTCAGTTTACGTTTTTCATGTTTCAGGGCACTGTTGTAGTTGCGAAATATTTTCAAATCTCTTTCGGCCGCCTTGAGGCGAGTCATTGTTGCCAGTTTCCGTTTGGAGATATCTTCGATTTTCTTCTTCATTTGGCTGGCTTCGATTTGTATGGAACGTATGCGTTCATTGAGCAAACTATTGTCACGGGATATTCTTTCACTCTTAGTCTTCTCCTCTTTCATCAGTTGCGGTAGCTGGGAGAGCTCTCGTAGCTTACTTTCGATTTTATTTCGCAAATGTTCAAAGCCACGGGAAATTTCCGCCTCCAAATGGCGATTATTGGTATTGAGTTTTTCAATTTGAATTTGTTGAGTTTTCATGACGCGCTGGGCTCGCAGGCATCGGCTGTGATAGTCTTGAAGGCAATTTTGTTGTTGTTCAATTATGGAACGAAATTGTTGTTGTTCGGTTTGCAATGTATCAATGGTGTTTTGAAGCAGTTCAACAGGAGCCACAGTCATGTGGGATGGGGGTGTCAAGTAGTTTGTGTTTCTTGACGATATGGCAGAACTGTCTTCACCACTTTTCCTGCCAAGGTAATTTATTACTCCCCGATTTTCCTTATTTTCTCTTTGAGATCTCAAATCAGACTTTTTGTAATTCCCCGAATTCTCCTCAAAATTCCCACATGGTCTCAGATATCGTTCCTTTGGCACAACTTGCATAAAACTACTACCACGATGGAAGATCTGTGTCGATTTCCTCTGCAGAGAAATATCAGAATCTGTGGTATTCTCAGAATAGGTATCACCATCTTCAACAAAGCTGGCACTACTCTCCTCATGGTGCTGCTTCATAAAGCGATTGTGTTTCTCTTGCATTTCACACAAGTCATGATTGATTTTCTTGTATTTATTTTCCAATTCCTCGGTGGTATCCTTGTAATGCCTCAATTCCTCTTTGTACTTTACAAGTTCCGAACGTAATTTACAACTCATTCGGCGTCTTTTGTTCAAGCTGATGTCTTGTGAAATGGAAATATCTTCTTCCTCATCCTCATCACTTTCTCCAAGAAGTCCATTTAAAACTGGCGCCATGGAAGTTTTGGCTGGTACTTCCCCACTCCTCAGTCCGTCATTGTAAAATTCTGAAGACGGAACTTCGAAATGTTCATCAGCAGTGCAGGCTAAAGGTTTGTTGCCAGTGTTTTTTGGCAAATGATAGGTGCTGGCCATACGCTCATTATTAAAACGCAAAGAATAATCTCCTGCCGATCTACTGGTAATTACAAAACAATTGGATGATCTATCCGATTTAAGATTCAAATCTTGTGAAAATTCAAAATTTTGACTTTTAGACTCCATATGGTCCATGGAAAAGCAAATTTTAATAATAACAGACGAATTGAATTTGAGATTTGTTTCCTAAAAATTTGAAATGAACAACAAATTTTTTAAAAATTCACTTTTGAAAGACGAAAAATAAAGTGTTCGAAAGCAAGGAAACTTTGAATGAGACTTGGAGCGGTACATTAGGGAGGAGTACGAATTATATTGACACAAGTAAAAACCTAAAGACTAGATTACTCATGATGTAAGAGTCATATGTAAAGTGACGTTTGACACAATTATACGTCATTTTCATAGCATACTTTTAGACGCTACCCAGAATTTTTAATCACAAAGGAAAGTACTATAAGTTTTAACTAATGTATTGTAAATAGTTTATACTTTGGCTTTTCCAGAACTGCAAGAATTTAAAACTTCTTTAACCTATTTTCCCTTTAGGATATCGAAAAGAAATATTAGATTGTTGCAGGTTCTGGAAAAGAGCAAAACTAAACATTTTTGGTGAAATATTAAACATGAATATTGGAAATATTAAAAGGTAGCCTTACGCATGGCTATTACATAATATGTAATCGAGGCTCACCCACAAAGAATTATCAAAATACAGCTACTTTAATTGGAAACCAAAGTAACTAAAAGAAGGATGTAACCTTATATGGCGTTCAAAGCAAAAAACATAGACCCACAGTGTTTTTTATACCCTCCACCATAGTATGGAGGGTATACTATGGTTTGTAACCCCTCGAAATATACAATTTAGACCCCATAAAGTATTTGTATTCTTGATCAGCATAAAATTCTATGTCCATTTAGCGATGTTTGTCCGTCTGTGGAAATCACTCTAGCTTCCGAACGAATTGAAGTATATTGATAAAGTTTTACTCAAATGTATATTATGTTTGCCGGACTTTTGGTATTGAAAATGGGCCATGTAGGTACACGTTTTTTATTGCCCCCATATAATGGTACCTCCCTTTTTCGGTATTTTGGCGATTTAAGCGACATTATTCGGCGGAATTGTTTCAAACTTTGTATGTAAAGTTCGTAATGGATAATTTTCTGTCATAGTATGTAGTATGACAGAAAATTGTCTGTGCAGGTCCACGTCTTCGTATAGCCCCCATATAACGGTACCTCCCGATATTCTGTATTTTAATGATTTTAGCGACATTGTCCAACGGAATTGTTTCAAATTTGTTATTTGAAGTTCGTAATGAATACTACAGCTTATGACAGAAAATTGTCTTTGCAGGTCCACGTCTTCATATAGCCCCTATATAACAAACCCTCCTGATATTCGGTATTTTAATAATTTTAGCGACATTATCAAACGGAATTGTTAAAAATTGGTATTTGAAGTTCGTAATGGATGCTAGAGCCTATGACAGAAAACGGTCAGTGCAGATCCACGTATAGCCCCCATATAACGGTACCTCCCGATATTCGGTATTTTAATGATTTTAGCGACATTTTCCGATTTAAGCGACATTATTCGGCGGAATTGTTTCAAACTTTGTATGTAAAGTTCGTAATGGATAATTTTCTGTCATAGTATGTAGTATGACAGAAAATTGTCTGTGCAGGTCCACGTCTTCGTATAGCCCCCATATAACGGTACCTCCCGATATTCTGTATTTTAATGATTTTAGCGACATTGTCCAACGGAATTGTTTCAAATTTGTTATTTGAAGTTCGTAATGAATACTACAGCTTATGACAGAAAATTGTCTTTGCAGGTCCACGTCTTCATATAGCCCCTATATAACAAACCCTCCTGATATTCGGTATTTTAATAATTTTAGCGACATTATCAAACGGAATTGTTAAAAATTGGTATTTGAAGTTCGTAATGGATGCTAGAGCCTATGACAGAAAACGGTCAGTGCAGATCCACGTATAGCCCCCATATAACGGTACCTCCCGATATTCGGTATTTGAATAATTTTAGCGACATTATCCAATGGAATTGTAGAAAATTGGTATTTGAAGTTCGTAATGGATAGTACAGACTATGACAGAAAATTGTCTGTGCAGGTCCACGTCTTCGTATAGCCCCCATATAACGGTACCTCCCAATATTCGGTATTTTAATGATTTTAGCGACATTATTCACCCGAATTGTTTCAAATTTGGTATTTAAAGTTCGTAATGGATACTACAGCCTATGACAGAAAATTGTCTGTGCAGGTCCACGTCTTCGTGTAGCCCCCATATAATGGTACCTTCCTATTTTCGGTATATTGGTGATTAAAGCGATATTATTCACCGGAATTGTTTCAAATTTGGCATTTGAAGTTCGTAATGGATACTACATCCTATGACAGAAAAAAATCTGTGCAGGTTCACGTTTTGGTATAGCACCCACATAATGGTACATCCCGATATTCGGTATTTTGATGATTTTAGTTACATTATTCATCGATTTTTTTCAAGTTTCGCATTTAAATATTGTAAACGCTATGGACCTATGCAGGTCCACGTCGTTTTATAGACCATAATATAACAGCTATATTTGGTATTTTAAAGATTTTAACAGAATTTTTAACGGATTTTATTTTTTTAAAAATTGCTAAATTCCTTCCAAATTGTGGAGAGTATTCAAAGTAAACCCCGGCCCAACATGCTGCTTTTTTACTGTTTTTTTTTTTTTTTTTGATTTACAAGCGATGTTTGTTTGTAAGTCAATTCATGGCTAAATTATAGACCAAAGTGAAGAGTTTTTACGTGAGTGACCTGGTTAAAGCAGTGTTGTTGATAATAGCTATAAAATCAGATTTAGAATTTAGATTTTTTCTCTTGGAAGACTGCGTACGAGTACGATTTTGATCCGAAAATCAGAGTTTAATAGCCGGAGTAGTCCCTGGAACCGATCTAGAAAACCATTAAAAAGCTTATGAAAGTACCTATTAAACAAGTGGTCACATGACTGACATGACCTGACCATTTTTTACTAAGATTTTGTGCCATTGCGCCTTGAATAAAAAACAAGATCGTTTTACAATGCATTAAGTTTTAAAAATTCAATTAAAAATACATTCTCTGTTGTCATCTCTAAAAGCCTTTTCTCTCTTTTGCTCCCACTCTCCTTCATTCTCTTTTTCAACTATCTATCTCACACATAAAGATTCACACTCACGTTGAGTACCAAAACGATTATCATTTCCACCACACCCACCGTAGACGAATCGAACACAGGTATTATTTCGGCGAACATAAGTCCAAGATGCCATATAGTCCATGCACCAAACTCGGCTGGGTCCATTTGTCGCAGGCGGATAGGAACACCTGGCTATGGAAATAGATTAAATTTAGTATATAAATATCCATATGAAGCATAGATGAATCTCATTGAAATACTTTGAGCTTGGCAGCGAAAAATTAGCATCGCAATGACCATCAGTAGGAGTAATTTGCCCATGGTTTCCTTTTCGTGTTTCGTGTGGATCGGAAGAAGAATAAAGCGACACTGTACAAAATGTAAATGTAAAGTACCCAAAGTTAAATCTAGCCACCACTTGCCAATAATTTGACCACAACTATTATTAAGTGTCACATGTGTGGTCAAATATGACCTTGAAGTTGTAACAAAAAAGAAAAAAACGTTTGCGGAATTATTGCAAAATTAGATGGACGGACAAATTTCGAGCCTTTTGAACATAATATTTTAAAATAATTTAAAAATTTGATCCACATTTAATTCGCTTATCCACCAATTGCAATCCACGCCTTTGAAATGGTGTACGTACGTTGTCCGCATTATCCAAGTGGTATACATAAGTTATCCACCTTATCGAAATGGTTAAATACATTATCCACGTTTTTATATCATACACCACATACTGGTAAGAGTATTACCTCTTTGTGCATTTGTTGAAAGCGAGAAAGACCCATAGTTACTTTTGAGGATCTTCATAGAATTATTTTCTGTCTCTATTTATGCATGTTAATCCGTCCGTCCGTCTGTCCATATATTCTTGTGAACAAAATGCCGGTCGTATTGAGATGAAATTTTCCAAACAATATTTGTTTGGCCCAATGACGAACCCTATTAAAATTGGTGAGAATCAAATTCAAATTTAGATAGAGCTCCCAAATATATCTTCAGCCGATCTAGGGTTAATTATGTACTAAATGGTCAATATCAGTCCAAATTACCTGAATGTTTGCATAATCGACTATATTCAGTCTAGAAGGAAGTACATCAAATGTTGTGAAAATTGGTTCAGATATAGCTATAGCTCCCATATATATGTTTCATCCGATTTGGTGTTTAAGTCCCTCACATGCGTAATATGCACTCCAGAAGAATGATATTTGTTACCAGATATCAGATACAGCCCAGAAATACCTCTGCCAAATTTGATCAAGATCGGTTCAAATTTATATATAGCTCCCATATATATCTTCAGCCGATCTAGGGTTAATTGTGCACTAAATGGCCAATATCAGTGCAAACATTTGGTAAATCTGACTGAATTCAGTCGGGAGGCAAGTACATCAAATTTGGTGAAAATCGGTTTAGATATTGCTCTCATATATATTTTTCATCCGATTTGGTGTTTAAGTCCCTCACATTCGTAATATACATTCGACAACAATGATATGTGGTGCCAGATATCTTATAGAGCTCGGAAACACCTTTGCCAAATATTATCGAGATCGGTTAGTTTTAGATATAGCTCCCATATACAGGATGAGATAAAAAAAAAACTGCAACAAATTCAAACGCCATAATTTTTACATTTTTTTTTTTAATTTTATTGAATGAAATCAAAAAATGTCGGAAATAGCATCAAATTTTAGAATTAATTTAGATTTTTTCGAATTGGTCACCTTTGACACGAATTATGGCCTTCAAACGGCCAATGAAACCACCACACTCCGCCCGAATGTTGCTCTGCATTATATTGGACCATTTCCGACGAAGCGCTTGCTTGAGGAGATCTACACTTTGGTATTTTTTAGTGGCAACCTTGCTTTCCAAAATACTCCAGACACAACAGTTCAACGGATTGGTATCCGGAGATTTCGGTGGCCATTGTGCGCTGGAAATGGAGCGAGGAACCACATTTTGTAACAATTCTTGGGTGCTGGGTCCTGTTGGAATGTCCAAGATCTACGGCCAAAATGTTTGCTTGCCCAAGTCTTTAATACACCCTCCAGAATATTTTCGCGATAATATTCGGCATTTATTCTGATGCCACGGTCGATTAATACGAGCAGAGAGCGACCATCGGCTGTTATGGCGGCCCACACCATCACCATGGCCGGCGCTTTAGTTCTGGTGGCCAACCGAAGGTGCACATTTTCAGCTGACCTCTTTGGCATGTAAATACGATCATTTTGTTTGTTTACAAACTGCTGGACAACGAATGTTTTCTCATCGGAGAAAACCAAATTCGGCGGTTCACAACTTTCGGCCAAGCAAAGCAGCTCTTTAGCTCTTCTGAGTCTATTTTCTTACTGTTGCGATGTAAGTTCTTGTTCTTCACTTTTTGGAATTTCAATGGCTTTACCCCGAGCTCATTTTTCAACATTTGCCGAATGGAATATTGCGATATGTTCAACTCACGAGCTATTTTTCGATCACTGCGATGCGGGTTTCAATCAAGTCGCTGCTTTACTTTTCGAAATAATTCTGCTGATGTTGCTGTTTTCTTCCGTCCACTTCCTTGACGTCGGGCTATGCTACCAGTATCACGGTAAGGAGCGATGTTACAAGACACAAAAGATTTATTCACATTTAAATGCTGGAGTGCTCTAACGATAGCCACTTGTGATTTTCCAGCCAAATATAAAGAAATCACACTATCACGCTTGAATTCCATCACGAATAACTTTTTTTCTGGAAAATTCTCATCAAAATGCTTTTGTACCCTTATAAACCATATAATGATCTGGCACTGGAATAATTTTAAGAGCTGTCGGACGAGTGGCTTATAAATGGCAGCAGTCTTAAGTTGGTTGCAGTTTTTTGTTTATCTCACTCTATAAAGGCTTGCTCCTGCCATGAAAAGGTAAATCCCTCCGTTCTCAATCCACCGGCCAAAAATACACAACATTGTCTCAGTTATCCACCCCACTTTAAAATTGAGGCGTATTTTTTTGTTTTTATTATCAGTCAATAATTTTCAAATGAAGTGTGAACAAAAGCGATACCTGCGCCCGTGGCGGGGCAGCAGGATAAACAACAAAATAAAAATAATGAAGAAAAAAATACTTAGAACTACCTATTTGTTTTTGGTTTATTCTTTGTTTATTCAAAACACAAATGATCGTAGTGGACATGAGGTTGGTGTTGATGTTGTTGTTGTTATTTCTGTTGTTCATTATCGCTTACATTGATAATCTCTTCGTAGATTTGATGAGGCAGCTCTTGGGGTGAAGTATCGCCATATGTTATGTGCACAGTTTTATGGCATTTATCCTGATTTTCATAGGCCAACGATTTGCAATTACATTCCGAACACATGCCATGTAGGGGCACCTCATAGCCACCGGGTTCATTTACGACCGTTGTGGGTATACCACCATTTAGTTCGCTGCTCGGAAGTGGTGGTAATTGGCGTACAACATCAAAACGCTGTGAGGCAATCGGAACTTGATTGCGTACACAGGAGAAGTTCTTATAATACGAAAGGTGGAACATTTTCTGGCAATAGATCCACATGTAGAGTAAAAGGAAGAGGAATGCTATGCCCAGGGGCAACATAAAAACAATGATGAGAGCCTCGGCTCTTTGGTTGCGTTTAAACTCCCATTGGTCACCATTTGGACCGGCAGTGTATAGTACATTCATGGGGGGAATTTGGGGAGCAGCCGTTGGCGGAGACTCTTCTAAAGTTTGGTGTTTTTTTGTTTCAATTGGTGGCGCTGGCGGATTTTCAGATGGTATACATTCCAGTCCATTGACATTTATCCTTGAAATAAATTTATCATATTGCAGTAGGCGAAACTTTTCCGGATAGGCATGGGCAAAGTCATGTAACCACAAACAATCCCAGGGATTGTGATCGGCTTTCAAACGCATTTGCAGTGTCTGCCAGCTGGGAAACTCCTTGTCAACTTCCTGCAGTGTTTGCAAACGATTGTCACGCAAATCGACATAGTGGCCATTCGGTAGCCGGTCCATAAGCTCAAAAAGCGATAAAATATGTAAACGATTTGACCTTAACGACAACCGCTCTAGGGCAGTCAAATTTTTTAGCCATTCATGGGGAAAATAATCCAATGAATTTCCCCCCAAATCCAATTCTTTCAATTGATTTTCATAGGCGTGAAATTCTTTCAATGCATTGCCCTGCAAATTAATCACCGCCACGCTTGAGTGCTTATCGATCAGTGTAAACGCTTCCAAGGCACAGCGGGCTATTGTTAGATTGCCAAGAGCATGGGCATTGATCAATTTGACAGCCACACCACCTCCACCATTATCGATGGCTGTATCCGCCACATAAAGTGTTTGCAGCGTTTCGGGCAAGTGGCGGAAAATCTCTGACGTCATTTGTTTGAGTTCCACCAAATAAATGCTTATGGCTGCGGTCGATTCAAATAGATCTGGCGTTTTCAACATCAACACAGATTCTTTAGAAATTTTCAGGTGTTCCAATGCCCTCAATGTCTGCAGAGATTTATTTTGTATCTTTTTCAGAGAATTGCCCTGCAGCTCAAGGACACGCAGCTGGGGATAATGGCCGCCAAAGGAATCATCATCAATGCTGGCTATTTCATTGTGCTGTAATACCAAATACTCCAGCTGATCCAGTTGGCCAGCACATTGCAACGGAGCCAACGAATCGATGTGAAAATTTTGCAGACCCACTTTCGTGACATTTGCACAGATCGGTAGAAATTCCAAACCATAAGTTGGTGTATTCAATGGCGTTTGGCAACCGTCCAGCATTACAGATTGGATGCCCATGAAACGGCGATGCCATAATGTGGAAAATTCTGATGCTGTTGATGGCTGTTGCGGTTGTTGTTGTTGTTTTTGTGCGCCGCCTTCGTCTACATCCACAACCAACAAATCATTTTCCAAATTTTCACTTTGTTTTTCCAGGCAATCGATTTGCATGGCAAGGCCATTGGCAAATTCAAAATTTTGATATAATTCTGCTCGAACTTTGCACACATCCTCATTTATCCAGCAGGTTTCATCATTGCTCCAGGCGATTTGGAAACCATTGGCCAGCAGAAGCACCAATAAGAAAATTGAATATTTTAAAAATCTCCCAACGTCTATCATTACGCATTAACAACTCGTTGTCGTCGTCGTATTACATTCGAACCAAAACAAAAAATATATTCGATTTTTTGGAGACGAAGATCCGATACGTTCGCTATGCTTTCGCCCCAACAACTACTGGCGAGCGCAATCATTTTCCTTTCCACCCATACCAGAAGCTAAAAAAATCAACGAAATCAAACAGCATTTCATTCTCATTTCAAACGCCCAGAGAAGGCCCGCCACACAGCACATGATTCAGCCGTACGTACCGTTTGGTGTGATGCCTCAGTGTTTTGATATCTTCTTCACAGTTCATTTGGCGATTCCAAAATTTGTGTGATTTTTTTTTCTTTTGTGAGAGTGGTGTTTGGCATTTTTTTTTCTTCTTCTTCATAATCTGTTCAAATCAAATTCTTACCCGCTGTGAAAACAAACAAACGAGAATGCGTCAAAGTAATGTGCAAAGAAAGGGGGAGGGCGCCAGTCGGCTAATAAATTGTTCTGCGAGCCCATCATCTATGTCATACTGTCTATAACACCTTTTCTTTAGGGGCGATGACGATGATGAAGATGATTGTGATGCGCATGAATGAATGAATATAACCAAGTAAAACACATTAAGTTCAGCCGGGACGAACTTTTTAATACCGTCCACCATTGGCTAAAGAAAACATCGTGCACCGTACGGAGGGTATCATGTGCGCTATAGGAAAACGTGGACCCAAATATTCAACGTTCTGCCACTGAATCATCGATATACCGAATATGGGAAAGTACCGTTATATGGGGGCTATATATGAAAACGTAGATCTATAAATACAATGTTTCGCCAGCGAAGCTAGCACCCATTATGACCTATAAATACCAATTTTAAGACAAATCCTTGGAAAATGTGGCAAAAATTGTCAAAATTCTGAATATCGGAGGGTTGTGTACATGTGTGCTATATGAAAACGTAGACCTATACATACCATGTTTCGCCACCGGAGCTAGAACCAATTATGACTCACAAGTAGCAATTTTTAGACAAATGCGTGGAAAAATTCCGAATATCATGAGGTACCATCATATGGGGGCTATACAAAAACGTGGACCTCTCCATACTATATTTCGGCAGCGGAGCTAGAACCCATTATGACCTACAAATAGATATTTTTGGACAAATCCGTGGAAAAATGTTGATTACTTATCAAAATACCGAATATCGGGAGGTACCCTTATATGGAGGCTATATATGAAAACGTAGATCCATACATACAATGTTTCACCGCCGGAGCTAAAACCCATTATTAACTACAAATACCTATTTTAAGACAAATCCGTGGAAAAAATTGCATAAATTATCAAAATACCGAATATCAGAGTTACCGTTATATGGGGGCTATACAATAAAGGTGGACCTATACATACAAAGTTTTTGCCAGCGGAGCTAGAACCCCTTATGACCTACAAATAGCAATTTTTGGACAAATCAGTAAAAAATGTGGCAAAAATTATCAAAATACCGAATATCGGGAGATACTGTTATATGGGAGCTACACAAAAACGTGGACCGATATATCTCATTTTCAATACCAACCATCCTAGACACAATACAAATTGTTGTGCCAAATTCTGAAGCTCTACGTCAAATAATGTGGGCTGTATCGTGATTTCAACAGGCAGACTGATGGGCAGACTGACAGGCGGACATCGTTAAATAGACTTAGGATTTTATGCTGATCATGAATATATATACTTTATGGGGTCTACGACGAATATTTACAGATGTTACAATCTGGCGTTTATTGCCTACCAACAGGGGCTTAATTTCTGGCGAATAACGCGGTTCCACACATTAAGCACCTCTTCCTCGGTCACTAGAGACTTGCTCAAGCGAGATAGACCCCAACAGCTTCTGCTGCGATCCCCCCTTAATACGTTGCAACCATACAATTTTCATTGAGCTTGGTTTGCTGCACCGCTGCCATCAAAATATTCCTCCGATTTTTAAATGTCAGTATCTCTTCTATTTTGCTTTGGCCTTGGTTGCAATTAAACTGCAAGAACGATGCACAATTCGAAATTGAAACAGCAAATGGGGGGCGGAAGACTACGGTGGAGTTCCGTACTCCGTCGAAAACGAGGACTCGGTGGGGACTACCTTGTTGCAGCACATTGCAAGTTATTAGTGATGGAATTCAGGCGTGATAGTGTGATTGGAAAACCACAAGTGGCTGGAAAACCACAAGTGCCTATCGTTAGAGCACTCCAGCATGTAAATGTGAATAAATTTTTTGTGTGTCGTATCATTGCTCGTTACCGTGATACTGGTAGCGTAGCCCGCCGTCAAGGAAGAAGACAGAAGAAAACAGCAACATCAGCAGAAATGGTTCGAAAAGTAAAGAAGCGACTTGAACGACTTCGGTTGGCCACAAGAACTCAAGCGCCGACCATGGTAATGGTGTGGGCCGCCATAACCGACGGTGGTCGCTCTCAGCTCCTATTAATCGACCGTGGCATCAGATAAATGCCGAATATTATTGCGAAAATATTCTGGAGGGTGTATTTAAGCCTTGGACACGCAAACATTTTGGACGCATACCAAGAGGACCCAGCACGCGCCACCCAAGAATGGTTACAAAATGAGGTTCCTCGCTTCATTTCCAGCGTACGAATGGTCACCAAAATCTCAGGATACAAATCCGTTAGACTATTGTGTCTGGAGTATTTTGGAAAGCAAAGTTTCCACTAAAAACTACCAAAGTGCCGAACATCTAAAGCAAGTGATTCGCCGGGAATGGACCAAAATACCGCAGAGCAATATTAGGGAAGCGTGTGACGCTTTCATTGGCAGTTTGAAGGTCATAATTAGTGCCAAAGGTGACCAATACGAACAAATCAAAACTTATTCTAAAATTTGATGCTACTTCCGACATATTTTGCATTCATTCAATAAAATTAAAAAAATTTAAAAATTATGGCGTTTGACTTTGTTGCTGTTTTTTTATCTTACCCTGTATACCAGGAAAATTGAATTCGAAGTCACCGTGCGCCTTTATTTCTTTGAACTGGTGCATTTGCACATTATTAGGACCATTAATGTCTTTAATATGACCCCGTGAAGTTTGTGCACAGCCAAATTAAACCTTCAATCAAAACAAAAATATTAAAAAATATATATTTTTTGCAGCGGTATGTTCATACCGACCAATGTACATGCGTACTTTTAGTATCTATAAATAAGTAAATTTATAAGTTTTTTATGTTTTGTTTATAAAAAAAATCGAATGTACTGACCGCTTTGCTATTCATTCTAGTGGCCGTTCAGCGCGTCTATTTAATGTGTTTTTTACTAAAACGAAAAGATTATTAATAAACAACAAGCAAACATACAACTAACAACAACAACAAATGCCACTAAAACAGTGTAGACAAAAATAGAATATATGTATATAAAAAAGTAAATATGCATTACGTGACGCCAACATGGCTGCAATATATCGAACGCAAACAATATTATATTTTGAATACAAATCAAAATTTTCCCAATGAAAAAAACCTACGAAAAAGGGGTTCTATTGCAATTGCAGTTTTTGATAAATATGTTTATTTGAGATTTCAGAATTTTTAAATAAAAGAAAGGGAGTTAATAATAATAGTATCAGTCGCTTTTGCCGACAGATCTATAACCTCAGCCAATGTTCGATTATTTAAATATCTTTTGACTTCTGTTATGATTACACAAATTGTTGATCATATATGGAGTAGGTTTTGAAGGAATGGTCAATATTGTCCATTTCGTATCGGACCTAAATAAATATGATAAACAGGATGAGATAGAAAAACTGCAACAAAGTCAAACGCCATAATGTAATTTTAATTTTTTTGAATGAAAGCAAAAAATGTCGGAAATAACATCAAATTTTAGAATAAGTTTAGATTTATTCGAATTGGTCACCTTTGGCATTGAATTGAATTGTGGCCTTCAAACGGCCACTGAAACCGTCACACGCTGCCCAAATGTTGCTGCGGTATTTTGGCCCATTTACGGCGAAGCGCTTGCTTGAGGTGATCGACACTTTGATTTTTTTAGTGCCATAATAGTGCTTTCCAAAATACTGCAGACACAATAGTCCAACGGATTGTTATCCGGAGATTTTGGTGGCCATTGTGCGCTTGAAATGAAGCGAGGAATCTCATTTGGTAACTATTTTTTGGTTGGCGCGTGATGAATGCGATGGTGCTAAGATCTATTGGAATGTCCAAGGTCTGCGGCCAAAATGTTTGCGTGCTCAAGGCTTTAATACACCCTCCAGAATATTTTCGCGATAATATTCGTCATTTATTCTTATGCCACGGTCGATTAATACGAGCAGAGAGCGACCATCGGCTGTTATGGCGTCCCACACCATCACCATGGCCGGCGCTTGAGTTCTGGTGGCCAACCGAAGGTGCATATTTTCAGCTGACCTCTTTGGCAAGTAAACACGATCATTTTGTTTGTTTACAAACTGCTGGACAACGAATGTTTTCTCATCGAAGAAAACCAAATTCGACAGTTCACCACTTTCGGCCAAGCGAAGCAGCAACTCTTTACCTCTTTTGAGTCTATTTTCTTTCTGTTTGCGGTGTAAGTACTTACATTTTTTGGAATTTCAATGCCTTTACCCCGAGCTTATTTTTCAATATTTGCCAAATGGAATATTGCGATATATTCAGCTCACGAGCCATTTTTCAACCACTGCGACGCGGGTATTGATCAAGTCGCTTCTTTACTTTTCGAACCATTTCGGCTGATGTTGCTGTTTTTTTCGTGCCCTTCCTTGACGTCGACCAGTATTGCGGTAACGAGCGATGGTAGGAGACGCAAAAGATTTATTCGCATTTAAATGCTGAAGTGTTCGATAGTCACTTGTGGTTCTCCAGCCAAATATAAAGAAATCACACAATCACGCTTGAATTCCATCACGAATAACTTTTTTTCTGGGAAATTCTCACCAAAAAGCTTTTGTACGCTTGTAGACAATATAAAGAGGTGTTACTGGAATAATTTTAATAGCTGTCGGACGAGTGGTTTAGAAATGACAGCAGTCTGTATTTGTTTGCAGTTTTTTCGTCTCACCCTCTATAACCTCTCTAGCCAGATGTCTAAGGGTATAATATATAAATAAATACAGACATATCCATCAATAATTCAATTGGGGGATATGCATGATTTTCACCACAAGAAGAAAACCAAACAATTCTATAATACTATTAAGGCAGTTTATTAGGAACTAAAATAGTAAAAAATATTTTCCTTAAAATTGTATAAAAAAATAAATTAACTTATTTTCGAAAAAAAAAAAAAAATACACAGACAATACAATACACACAAAAATGCAATAATACTTGATAAAAATGCAAATTGGAAAAAGTGAATTATAAAAAACTAAACTAAAACAACGTATAATAAATTCGAGAATTATAATTAAAAAGAAAAACAGCGTGATGACGGGGTAAAAACAATTAAAAACATACGCACATCTCCATCGGGTATTAATGTAATTTGTTTATTGGAATTTACCTTTTCCACATTGAACTTTACCACATATGTAATGGGTGTGTATGGGTGTGTTTGAAGACGATTTCAAAAGCAACAGTTGCTTCACTCATTTCCATTGACCTTCAATTTCTTTTGCTTAAAAAATTTTACTGTTCCACCTTGAACTTTACCATATGTGGTAGCCACCTGCAGATGACGTGAAATCCATTGTGGCAATTTTCGTTGGATGTTATCACGTGCATATCTTTCGTCCAGCAAATAGACACAGGCATAATCTCTTATATGACGTACCGAACGACCAATACATTGATTTACAGCTTTCATGCACAAATTCTCATAATATTCCGCACCCGAACCAGCACCGAGAGTTTTATCCAAATAAGACATACGTTCTTGGATTTCCGGTGAGTTGCAATACGGATATGGCAGGCCGACAACAATGACGCCACGACCCAAATCATCGGCAAAATTAAGACCTTCACTCAATTTGCCACCCACCACACTTAAAAGTAATGCACCCTGTTGATGTTTAATGACACGACTATAGTCGGCCAATATTTGCTCTACATTTTGTTCAACAGCACCTCCAATTTGTGGATCACTGCGTGGTTCACGAAATATGCGTTTTTTATTCGAGATTCTTTGTAGAATACCAGTCTTTTGCAACTGTTCATAGACACTGTTTAAATAATCGTAAGACGGCACGAAACACACAAGGCCAGCGGGCACAACATTACACAGGTTTTCCAAGACACTACATAGTTCGTTTAACTGGAAGGGTAGATGTAACATATTATTAAAAGGAATCCTCTGAAAAACTATATATATATTTTTAATTACCATAACAGTTGATGATCTTTGGGTAAAATTGAAACATAAATTACGACCACTTGGACCCTTGGTGACGACAAATGGCAAGACAGCATCCTCAGGTACTACATGATCATAGAAACGTAGTTTCACCCGCTCTGGGCAGGAACTAAATAGTTGTTCGGTTAGTTCGTTAGTTGGCTGCATAGTTCCACCGGCCACAATTATCTAAAAGGGGGAATTGGAATTGGGAAAGACAGGAAATGTTATTTAAAATGCATTGAAATTCGAGAAATTCTTAGAGGTAATCGAGTGAATAACCTTGGAAGCATCAGACGCTTTGACGACACATACGTCTTTAAGATGCAAAAAAGGCTTTAAAAATGTTCTTAAAAAACGCGATTTTTAGGCATGAAGTTTTTGAAGACCAGAAAAGAAAGGTAAAAGTCCTGCGTGTCGATTTTATGATGCCCTACACCACTCTGCACATTTAGTAAAGCTACTAGTAACAAATAAACTTTTTCATAGGAAATTTATGTAAAGTAGATCATAACAATTATTTCCGCTCAATTTGAAGGAGGCATTTGTGTCTTTCGACTTAAAGAACGCTTAGATTAAAACATAGAAATCAGAGCTATATTTGAACCGATTTTCACTTAAATCCATCCTATTTGAGCCGATATTTCACTTATTGTGAATGTCGGATGAAGATATTTATGTATATTCAAAAATAACCGATCTTTATACAATTTAGCAGAGGAATTTTTGTTCTAAATCTGATAGCTGGCAATTCGATACATTTCTTCCTGGCGTAAATAAAAAACAATACGGAAACACTTACCGCTCTTGCATCTTTGACAACATCTTGAAAATGAGACTCAGGACGCAGAAGGATGTATTTCAAACTTGGCTGGGAATCATATTTACCTGAGGCGGTCGTTTCATCACCTGAATTTACAAGAACACGACCATCCTCAGCTTTTTCGCAGAGAGCTTCCAAAAATGCCAATAACGGTCTCAAGGAAGATATTAACATAGCTGACGACTGCTTATTTTCCTCAAAGCTGGGGGAAACTTTTGCATCTTCATCTTGTTTTTTCTGTTTATTTGATTTCGATAATTTTTCTTCATGATTCTGTTGTAAACGTTTGAGAAGACCCACAGCTGCTGATGATTTTCCACCACCCACAGAAGGAGGTGGTTGATTTTCACTTGGCCTCGGTTCCATTGTAAAAGTTTTGGCAAAACCCTGTAACTTTTGGGCAAATCTTGTTCTCTCACAGAATTTAAGCAGCTCATAAAGGTCTATGTTAAAAAAATCTCCCTCGGACATTAGCTCATAGGTACAGAGCATACGAAATTTGTTGGATTTCTCATTGACATCTGTGGTCGCATCAACGCTGGGAGTTGTGAGTATTTTTACCAGTCTTTTTATAACAAAAATTAAACGATTAATGGACAAGAGATTTGCCGAATTGAAACGTGAGGCATATTTCATTTTATAGGCCACAATTTGGTGTTGCACCGACTGTAGCTGGGCCAGTGTTACTTCACAGCTGTATATATCCGATATACAATCCAACAGATTATGTGCCTCATCGATGATCACTATCGAATCACGTAAATCAATGCCAGCCAATTCCCGACTACGTTTGTGCAATAGCAGCTGATAGGGTAACATAACAATTTGACCGATTTGTGTGGCCATTCTTGCCGCATAATATGGACATGCTTCCAGCTGCTCTCCTTCACTTACTAAATCTTCAATGTCGAGAATTTCAGCCAGAGACAGCTCACTCAACTCCTGGACAAGGGTTTGAGATTTGTGTGGACATTTTCCCATGGATTTCATATTCACACGGGATTTTTTCTTGACACAGCCATCACCATCACAAGCTGTGACCTTGCTGTTTGAGTTTTTGGCCATATCCAAACAAAGTTCATTAATTAGGGCGGTATTATTGATTTTACGCAGATCTTTATGTATACACAATTGTTGGCGTGAGGCCATCGAAACACAACGCACACGTTCTCCATACACAGTTCGTTTAATTTCATTTACAACCTGAGCCAGTTGGGTATGGGTACGACTACAAAAGAATATTTGTACATCACGATATTTTACAGGTTTCTCCAATTCCTCCTCCTCTTGCTCTTCGTCACTATTATTTGCCTCCTCCAGAACTACATTTTGTTCATCTAAAATATCTTCTCTGCCACCATCAACAATTGTAGATTTCTTGGTTTTCTGTCCATTGGATTTCTTTTGATTGAGCGTTTTTCTTTTTTCCTTAATCACATTTAATTTTTCTTCATATTCATCCAGCAGCTTTTTTATTCCCTTTAACTCCAACAATTCCTGCTTTTGTTCAGATGTCTTGGAGTGCATGAAAATCCAATCTGTGGCCACATTTTGTTCTTTTTCCAGCTTCTCAACTTCTTTAGTTATTTTTTGCAAACGTTCCAGCAGCTCTTTCCTAATCAACGCCTCGTGATCTTCCAGCCACTTAAGGGCAGCGCATGTAAGGGTCAATGATTTGCCCGTTCCTGTTGGACTTTCAAATATACCAATTTCTTTATTTTCCAGCACCTTATAAAGCTCCACCATCAATTGTTGTTGAATTTCGTAGGGAGGAAATGGAAAATGAAAATCACTGGGAGTGGGCAATTCTTTTTGTGGCTCATACATTTTGCCAAATGAGCATGCTGGAGGACTATCCTGAGGTGGCTAATTGGCGGTGTGGAATTCACTTGTTGATCTCCTGCATCGTAAACAAAACATTCAATGACAACAGCAAAGCGCGCGCAATCGCTGTCAACTCTCACGAAGCCAGTTGACATTTTATACGCCGTCATTAAATTTACGTTAGCCGAATGATTTTAAAGTGTGGCTTGGTGATTTGGGTAGGATGATAGAAATTATTGTCAAATTGTTTGTATGGGATGATTTTTCTTAAGAAGCCTACTTTCATATAATAGATGATTTAGGCAGGGTGACAGAAATTATAGTCAAATTGTTTGTATTGGATGGTTTCTCTTAAGAAGCCTACTTATATATAATAGCTTCAGTAAAATCCATAATCAATTCCATTGTGTTTTCTTTAATCAAAGTTTCAGATTTGAAGTGAAGATTTCAGATTTGAGTACATTGGTGTCGAAAAGAGGATTTATCGGTCTTCAATTGGTGAGCATCGTTGTTAATTTCTCAGAAAAAAATGCAACCGAAAGACCTGAATCTGGTTTTGCGGTATCTGGTCATTTGAATTGTGTTGCAGGTTTCAAAAGCATTTTCAAACCAAATCAGTCGTAATTGAGCTTAAAATGTGTCTTGAAGGCAGCTCCTGTAAACCAAAAGCAAACAAAACTTGAAGGCAAAATAAAGAGTTTGATCACACAGTATAAGGCACCCTTATGTTTTAACGCCGTTTCTAATGTCAACTGCCTACTCTGTGTAACATTTATGACGCGCTATTGTGTGAGTGATTTATACGCGAGTGTTTGTGTGCAGCGGCAAAATTTATGAAAATTGAAAAAAGGATATTTTCCTATTAAAATTACAAAACAAAAAATTAAACTGGAAGAAACATGGTTGATTATCCCGATATAATTAACTTTACAAGAGATGAGCTGTTGGAAGAATTCTGTAAGCTCTTCGATCGCTATCAAGATCTTAAGGAGTCCAACGAAGCGGATACACAAAAAATACACGAACTAAAGCGATCGTTGGACACAGCAGTGGCTGCACAAGCCTATCTCTCGCAAGAGTTGGAGCAGTACACAAGCAATGAAAGCAATCAAGATGATAATGAATTGCAGAAGGCATTAAACGAGCTGGCTGAGCTAAGGAAACGTTATAGTAAGTTGGAAATATCCTATAATACCCTGCAACAGGATCACAATGCACTGCTGGAGGAAAATGCTCAGCTAACAAAGAATATAGAAGAGCTAAACAAACGCAAAGAACAAGAACCAGCCGTGGTTGAGAGTAAGATATCCGAGGAAGATTTGCAGCGTATACAAATGTTGGAAACGGAAAATATGGATCTATTGGAAAAAATGGAAGATTTCCAGGAGCAAACTGTACGCTATACCCTTACCATTGCTGAGTGTGAGGTAGGTTTCAATAACCAAATTGAGTTGTTGTTGTTTGGAATCTTATTCATCTTTTGTTTCAGAAAAATATTGAAATTTTGCGTGACCAAATCAATTGCTTGGAGGAGAATCTACAATCGAAAAAGGCCGATCTTGACGAAAAGGTGCAAATACTCGAAAGTACCCAAGAGCAATTGGCCGAGGCTAATGCCCAAATTGCCATGTTATCGGCTGCTCCAGAAAACAATGGTAGAATTCTAAAGCACTTGCTTTTAATTTTATTCTAAATAAGTTTCGATTGTATTTTAGATCGCAAAGGAAACTCCTTATTTGCCGAAGTGGATGATCAACGCCAGGCCATGAAACAATTGCTTAATTCTCAAAAGAAAAGCTACATGCAAATGAAAAAGATCTACAATGAGAGCGAACATGAAATTCGCCGTTTAAAACGAGAAAATATTGCCATGCACACGGAACTGGAGGCATGTAGTGCAATATTTTGTAATGCCGATAAGGTTTATCAAGGTGAGTTCTCAGAGAATAACTCGCAAAGACTTTTAATGATACCTCCCAGAAATCTTTTATGCATAGAAGGCCCCTTGAACGTCTTTACGGAAGGTCTAAAAAATTATAAAAGGACTACTATAGACGACTTCCACGAGGCTTTTGTATACAGACTATTTCAAAAAAGATTCCAAAAGTCCATGAATAGTCTGTTTTTCTATAAAGTATCTCATCTGTAGTGAGAAAAATTTCGTTCTCAGAAGACGTTCAAGAAACATTTTAAGTTTTGCTAGATCTTTTCACAGAAGAATACTAGGAGGTGTAGGAGGTAGGAGTCTTTCCAAGGAAGAAAAAACGTTCACTTTCTATAAAAATTTGAGAGAATTGACCTTTAGAATACTCTTATTCATTGAAGGCAGCTAAACGATCTTCTGTGTTAAAAATATCTAATTTTGATTAATTTAGTTGAATTGATTCTTTGTTTTTTTTTTTCATTTCAGAAAAACTCAACGAACGCGTACGCAGTCTACTAAGCCAAAATGAAGAACTTGAACGTAAATTGAAATGGAATCAAGAGCGTCTTAATGACTTGGCCAAGGAAAAAGGCGTTCTGTGGCTTGATTCAATGCTCAGTTATTGCAAGTATGAGTTAACCAAACGCGTTGCAACATGTGTAGATTATATAGGACATTTTATGAAATCTTGGTGTTTCACCAGGCCTCGCTTTTTACTTTAAATCTCTCAGAATCATGCATTCGCAAAAAAAAAAACACTCTTTCATACACCCCGAAACCTCCTATGCATCTCAGACCAAAGCATGTGATTTTCTAACAAATTTACTAAACAAATAGACTGTTAGGAGTACATTCGAAAATGTATTTCATAATTAATATAAGTAGTTTTTAAGATTCTTTCAAAATTAACTTTTACATTGCATCTATTGTTTATAAAACCGTAGTCATTATATGTAGCATGGAATGTATATACACTTAGAGTTTTAAGAAAAAAGAACAACTACAGTAAAGCAGATATTTGAATATCGTCGATAACAATTGTCCTCCTTACAATCTTTGTAACAGAAAGGAAACGGAAGACCTCAAACGGCAGTTACACAGCGTACGCTTACAAAAGGCAAATCTAGAGGAGCAGCAAAGGAATTCTCAACAGGATTTGGCTAGGTAAATGAAAGACAGACTCATCTCATAAATTGCCAATACTAAAATGTATGTAACCTTGCTTTGTAGATGGAGATTTGAGGCATTGAAATCACGTTGTTTACTTTTGGATCGTGAACATTTGCTAACCGAAAATAAAATTGACTTCAAACCTGTTCATGCATTCGATTTTCACATTGCTGAAAAGGAACAGAACGAGGCAAGGCCACGTATTGTTAGCAGCCGTAGAAGTGCAACATTTGAAAATATCAATCGTAAATCGATGACACCACAAAAGACAATAAAAGATGAAAACCATAATTCAGTAGAGCCGCCACTCTCAATAATGAAGGAAATCAAAGAGGAGATTCCTCAAGTTTTGGCAGCCGTTAAAACGGAACTTGATGAACCGGAATCCAACGATATTAATATAACTGAAGATAAGGAAAATGTTAAACCATCTACGTCTGAGATAATGCCTCCTAAATCGTCTTCTCCAAAAAGTCCTTTGGAAAAACCATCATCATCAACATTGTTGGTAACCGAAATCACAAATACACCACCCTCACGTTCTATACTCACCAAACAACGTGATCTATTCTCTAAAGAGCCAACGAAAATTGTGAAATTTTCTTCCAAAGAAGATTTGGTACATAGCTTTACTCCTCATACTCCATCACCAAATGAGTTGATGGCATCCTCCTCACTAACTCCCGTAGCTGCCCAGAATACGGATAAGAAATCAACAGCTTCTACACCAGCTGTAAAAAAGAACACCAGCAAAGCTGTTGTCAATCAAACTCGTGCAAAATCGAATATTGTCGTACGTCGTGTTTTTGTAGGATCTAAGCATGACTAATGAGAATATTTTTTAGCTTTTAATTTATGATTATTTTTGTAACGTATTTTATTTTGAAAATGTAACAACAGCAATTGTCCCATTTGTATGTGTATGTAAGCCCATCTATGTTTGTTTTTAAATTGTCCTATTTTTATTCCAATTCTTGCCCATTAAAACGAAAAACAAATAATTGAAAGGAATTTATTATATTTTCTATGGAACATCTTGTGGAATCCCATATCGTTCACATACATCTTATTCAAGTATGCATCTCACCATGGAGTCTATTGTAAATTCCATCAATTTATCCAAATATTGAATGGAAGTCCTCCAAATTATTACATTGTAGAAATAATTCCCTGGTCTGCGACAAGAAAACTTCTAGAAACGGAGTCTCAATGTTAAAAAAGTTAGCAAAACAGATTAAGTCCGCTTCGTGATCATCTATAAACCAGTAAATATAACAAAAATAGGTGGCAATTCTTCAAAAGCAACATATCACCCAATCAGAGACTGGCGATTTTCTACACCGCCAAATTTTGCCTGGTGAATTGATATTTGTGTATATTTTCTTCATTCCGTTAGCAAGTGGTATTTGTTTCCAAAGTAGTACAATATTTAAAAATTTCAAAATTCAACTAAAAGCAGCTGTTAATAACTAGAAAAATATATCGATAAATTCGATAAACGATGCTATCATTTCACTTTGAATACCTCAGATTATTTTAGCGCGGCAACAATGAATGACAACAATAGAAAGAAGAAGAGAAGGCTAAACAAAAAAATCCAGATTTCGATCGATTTTGTGACGCCGAAATCAGTCCAACTTCAAAACTAATCCAATATAATAAATCCAATCCAATAACTATGGAGGATGAATATTTCAATGTGCCTCTGCAGGATGTGAAACGCGAACTCAGGCGTGGCATTGTGGAATGTCAAAAACGCTGCCTGCTGCAAAGTGTTAAATGGCTGGCCGAGATGAACCATGGGCTGGCGGACATTGAGCTAGACGGTGATAAATGCGATTTCACTGAAACCGCCATGGACGGTATAGCACCAGCTGAATATGATAATTATTTTTTGGCCAAAAGCTACTTTGATGTACGGGAATATGACCGGGCGGCATATTTGGTGAGAAATTGCGAATCGGAAGTGCCAAAATTTCTTTTTTACTATGCCACCTATATGGGTATGGAGAAACGAAAACTGGATTCAACTACGGACCAATCGAATTTGAATGAGTCGGGTTATGTTAAGGATTTGGCTGAACTATTGGCCACATTGAGGACGGAGTACTCTCGTGGCCGTCTGGATGGTTATTGTATGTATTTGTACGGTGTCATCTTAAAGGCTTTGAATCTCAATCAGGCCGCCCATCAAGTACTGGTCCAGTCAATACGTTTGGCACCCATGCTCTGGGCTTCATATGTGGAACTGGCTCCACTGGTTACCGAAAAGGAAAAATTGCAGACAATGCATTTTGGTGGTCATTGGATGCGTCACTTTTTTGTTGCTCATACATACATTGAAATGTATCTGAACGATGAGGGTCTCAAGGCGTATGAGGAGCTGCAGGCAGCCGGGTTTCGTAAATGTGTTTATGTGACATCACAGATGGCGCTGGCGTATCACAACAAAAGGGGTGAGTATTTTAAGGGACCTCATTAATTTGTTAACACTTTATTTAATGTTTTTTTTTCATTTTCCAAGATGTCGACAAAGCCATTGAAATATTCCAAGAGTTGCAGGAAGCAGATCCATATCGTTTGGATAACATTGATACCTATTCAAATTTACTCTTTGTCAAGGAACTTAAAACGGAAATGGCCCAATTGGCCCACAAAGCAGTTTGCATTAATAAATATCGTCCCGAGACATGTTGTGTTATTGGTAAGTAGGAATGAGTTGCGTGTCCGATTTTGTATTAATTTTCGTTTCCCATTATTAAGGTAACTATTATAGCATACGTTGTGATCATCAAATGGCCATAATGTATTTTCAACGGGCCTTGAAATTGAATCCGAAATATCTGGCAGCTTGGACTCTGATGGGTCATGAGTTTATGGAATTGAAGAACACAAATGCCGCCATTCAAAGTTATCGCAAAGCTGTGGGTAAGTGCGATGTGTTGCATCGTTGTAATGGTCTTCGAAAAATATTCCAAAAAATCCAAGATTTTAGCTTTGAAGTTGAGCAAATTTAACTTTTTTCTTGAAATTTGAAACTATTTTTACTGACCACCTTTTCCCCTTTCAGAGGTCAATAAACGTGATTATCGTGCCTGGTATGGCCTGGGTCAGGCCTATGAAATATTGAAAATGCACTACTATAGCTTGTATTATTTTAAAATTGCCCATCAACTCCGACCCTATGACAGTCGTATGCTGGTGGCTTTGGGTGAAACCTATGAAAAACTTGAGAAATGTGAAAACGCTATTAAATGCTATAGCAAAGCCTGCGATGTGGGTGATATTGAGGGCATTGCCATGTTCAAAATGGCAAATCTTCATGAGAAATTGGGTGAATATGATTTGGCTGTCAATTGTTATATGCTTTATTGTGCCGACGAAAGAGCTGCGGCAGATAAACAAAGTCTCTATCATGGCTATATGACCTTGGCCAATTATTATGAGAGTAAAGGAGAATATGATAGAGCCTCACATTATGCCTATAAGTGTTTGGAATCTGATGATGTAAGTAAAAACGGGATTGGTTTTCGTTTCTTTTAAATATTGACTTTTGTTTACGGCCTTTTTCAGCGTAAATCGGAAGCCAAATCTTTGTTGAAAACCATTGAAAATAAACGCAGTGGCAAAGTGATATCACTTGGTACATTGCCCTCCTGTTCAACGGCAACAGTGGCCAATGCCGACACCTCATCCGATGATGATATGGAAATGGAACTGAGTGATTATAAGTTGTCTTCGGCAAATAATTTTTTGTGGTCGAGTAATATGAAATCGACTATTAATGAGTTTTTGGTGGCTGCCACAACAAGTTCTAGTAAGTCAGCCGCACCACCGCCGACACAGAAACATTCATCATCAGTGACCACCGATGAAATGTCACTGAGCGAAAGTGACATCACCACCAATACCTCAATGCCTGCCACAAATACACCATCAAATCAATCCTCAATACCAAGGCGAACATCAAGTTCAGGTACCCAGCCGGCCATAGCCACCACCTCGAATGTGGGTGAACAGGATGAGGATACACAATCCATGGAAATGTCTTCGATTTCAATAGACTGAAATTTCCCCAGGCTAGACTGAAGTGTCTAAGGTTGCTATGCGAGAGTTGTACTTTTAACTCATGGGTTTTTTCATTTGACTTAACATGTGGGAATATAGCAAATAGTTTTATAAACTATTGTTGTCACTTTATTTATAAATTTGTTTCTAGATTTAAAAGATATTTTAAAAACTTATTGAAGAAGAAGAACAACAATGGATGTTAATTTAAGTTGTAAGTTTAGCCTCATTAGCTAGTGATTACGTTTAAATTTCGTTCTCTTTCCATAAACTACTACTTCTAAATTGTCTTTATAAGAATTTTTTAAAATATATTTTTGTTTTTATCTTTAATTTCTTTTCATGTGTTCAAACCACAAACTAAACTAAAAAAACATACTAAAACGATCAAATATAAAAAAACATAGTGAACTTGCCAATTTATTGTTTCAACTAGAAAGGAGATTGTATATACATCTCACATCAACAACACATCAAAACTTTAAACAAATTATATTAAATGGGAATCGTTCGGAACTATTTTTTATCAAGGTAAGATTTATGTCTTTAATTGTTTTTTTTTAATAGTGTTTATTCAAGAACCATCAGTGCTAAAAACTTGAATTTGTCAAAACTATTTTTCCGTGAGCCATCAAAACTATAAACGTGAGTTTCTCAAGGGACTTCAAAACTATCAACGCGGATTCTATTTTCTAACAAGTATCTCTGCTGTAAACGTCGAATTGTTTAAGAATATTTTTTAAAGCCCTTCGCTGTTTTAGACGTGGATTTATTAAGAATATTTTTGTACCCTACGCCACACGGTGGACAGGCTACAATGTCTTCGTGCATTTCTGTGTTACATGTAGAAGGAAACGAAATAGACCGAACTATGGGTCTAACCGTCTACACATGCATATTTGTAAACAAATCTTTTTTGACCCAAGGACGAACCCTATTGAAATTTGTAAGAATTGATTCAAATTTAGATATAGCTTTCTTCGTCCGATTTCAATTTTATTTTGCGCCATATGTGTAATATTCTTCCAAATGGGATGGATTTTGGCACATTCGACCGAATCCAGCCTACAAGTAAGCACTTCAAACTTGGTGAAAAAAATCGGTTTAGCTATACTTCCATATATATGTTTCAATCGATTAGTCAAGTCCACCACATTCGTAACGATATCCACAACAATGATATTTGGTACTCAAAAATACCTCTGTCATATTTATGGAGATCGGTTCAGATTTGGATATAATTTCTACATATATCTTTATCCGATTTCACGGATATTGTGGATCGAATGTTAAATATCTGCCCAATATCCAGCCTAGAAGCGAGCCCTTCAAATTTGGTGAAAATCGGTTCAGATATTGCTATAGCTCCCATATAGAGGATGAGATAAAAACTGCAACAAAGTCAAACGCCATAACTTTGACATTTTTTTTTTAATTTTACAAAAAATGTCGGAAATAACATAAAATTTAAGAATAAGTTTAGATTTGTTCGAATTGGTCACCTTTGGCACGAATTATGGCCTTCAAACGGCAATAAAACCGTCTCACGCTGCCCGAATGTTGCTCTGCGGTATTTTGGCCCATTCCCGGTGAAGCGCTTGCTTGAGGTGATCGACCCTTTGGTATTTTTAGTTTCAACCTTGCTTTCCAAAATACTCCAGACACAATAGTCGAAATGATTGGTATCCGGAGATTTTGGTGGTCATTGTGCGCTAGAAATGAAACGAGGAACCTCATTTTGTAACCATTCTTGGGTGGCGCGTGCTGAATGCGATGGTGCTGAGTCCTGTTGGAATGTCCAAGGTCTGCGGCCAAAATGTTTGCGTGCCCAAGGCTATAATACACCCTCCAGAATATTTTCGATTATTATGAACGGAGAGCGACCATCGGCTGTTATGGCGGCCCACCATTACCATGGCCGGCGCTTGAGTTCTGGTGGCCAACCGAAGGTGCACATTTTCAGCTGACCTCTTTGGCAAGTAAACACGATCATTTTGTTTGTTTACACACTACTGGACAACGAATGTTTTCTCATCGGAGAAAAACAAATTCGGCAGTTCACCACTTTCGGCCAAGCGAAGCAACTCTTTAGCTCTTTTGAGTCTATTTTCTTTCGGTTGCACTTTTTGGAATTTCAATGGCTTTACATTTTTTCAATATTTGCCGAATGGAATATTGCGATATATTCAGCTCACGAGCCATTTTTCGGCCACTGCGATGGGGGTTTCGATCAAGTCGCTTCTTTACTTTTCGAACCATTCCTGCTGATGTTGCTGTTTTCTTGCGTCCACTTCCACTACCTTGACGTCGCACTACGCTATCAGTATCAGGGTAACGAGACACAAAAGATGTATTCACATTTAATTGCTGGAGTGCTCTAAGATAGACACTTGTGATTTTCCAGCCAAATATAAAGAAATCACACTATAACGCTTGAATTCCATCACGAATAACTTTTTTTCTGGAAAATTCTCACCAAAATGTTTTTACACTTTGGGGAAAATATATAATGAGCTGTCACTGTAATACTTTCAACAGCTGTCGGACGATTGACTTAGAAATGACAACAGTCTGAAGTTGGTTTCATTTTTTCATCTCACCCTGTATAGTAGGTGTTCGATCTATCTCTTCTTCATCTTCACATAGCCTATAATAGTAAGAACACTCTTTTCCCATCTAAAGGTCTGATATTAGATCGGACCTACTAAGTGATAAATGGGAGCTTGTTTTTCTCATTGAGATTGCCGCCAGATGTTCGATAGAATCTTATACCATGCATGTAATGGCAGTCCAAAATGAATGGACTTTTGAACATTTAACCGTATTTTTCCATTTGGTAGAAGTGGGCTTCCATATATTTTTTGATCCGATACATATTTTTTTAATATAATCCTTCTCGAAGTCATATCGTGCACTCCGTAGCAATGCTATTTGGTAGGAGTGGTACAAATGCCTTCCTCAAATCCAGAGGAAATCGATGCGGTGTTAGATATACCTCCTATATATTTTATTCTCTCCCTGGGATGCCATAACACTGATGTAAAAAGAGTTCATAGTTCGAATGATCTACTTCACTTAACTTCCCAATATAACCGTTTATCTGTTACGGGTAGCTCTGCTAAATATGTACAGTGGTGTAGGGTTTTACATAGTCAGCCTTGATCGACGTTTAGCCTTCCTTTACTGATTATGATGTTTAAGAAAATTTTCGTGGATTTGAAAGAAAATGTCCTTGAATTTTTTAGAACATTTTGGTGGATTTTTCGAATATTTTTTCAAGGACCATAAGGATATTAGGATATGCCTATATACCTAGTAATGACTATAATCTTTTTTAGGCATTATCTGAGTACCTATTCTTTGGCCATTTAACCTTTACTTGCGAATTGTGTGTGTGTGTGTTTTATAATCTCCATTTTTTATCCGCTCCTTTGATTGTTTCTAATATCCACCCAAATGTTTGCAAACATTTCCTTATTTATAATAATTTATTAACAATATCAAAAAACGTATAAAACATTGTCATTAATAGCAAAATGTTGTTCCCTACAATATTTCTTTTATCTTATATAGTACAGAATATTATTATTTCCGATTGAAACCCCCTCTTCCCCCTTGGACGTTTCAATTAACTACAAGGCCTTTTTGATGCGCAACCATAAACTGAAGAGAAACAGGATCATCAATGCCAAAATCCATATACACAAGGCCATGACATCCTGTCCATACAAATCTCCAAACATGCCGAAATCTTTGAGAAACTTTTTCGGATGGCGATAGTAACAAAATTCCAGACTACACTCCAGATCGGGACGATCATAGGCATAGAGTGATCTCAGTAAACCCTCAATGGTGTAGCGGAAAAATGAAATATCACAGAGGATTTTCAAATAGGCAGCCACTTCGAAAATGCGTATAAAGAATCCCGAAAAGATTAGCAGGGGAATGGTGAGACAAGGTACCAAAAAGACGCCCATCTGCAAGAGGAGATTTTCGAAGATGATAATCAATTTTACGACAATGAAGAGAATAAGTATTGATTACTCACCTGCATTTGAAATAGAGACCCACAAACAAGCCCCATAAAATGTCCAATCATACCCGTCAGAAGACACATGCCCCAAAACATAACGCCGCGACCTAATTCCATTGGCTGGCCCGTCATAAAATAAGCAATACAGGTCAGCAGTGTTGGACACACGAATTGCAGGGGCAAATCGGATATAATTTTAGCTAAATAATATGATTTAATGGAATACCACCCGTTGAGGTATTCTCTTATGAACACCGCACATTCCTGAGGACATAGAAATATGGAGGGCATGGCATTGCCAAAGAAAACAAACATTACAACAAAAAATATACACGAAGCATTGGTTAGGGTTTTGGCACCATCATTGCCAATCTGCCAGAATACAATGCCCAGCAATATGGCCACGGCAATGTGCATGATTATGCGCAGCCGCACCGAGAGCTGTAATGGAGGTGAAATGTTAGTTAAGAGAATGATTCGCATATCATGAAATTCGAATGGTCTACCATATTTCGGTATGTTGATGTGGTGGATCTTTTCAGCAACACCATAAATTGACGCCAAACAGAAACCCGTTCTTTGGGTCGTATACCTTCCGTTTCCAAGGAAATTGTACTCAGCATATCGACAGTTGTGTGGGGTGGTGTTGATGCCTTTGAAAGGGGGTTGGTTAAGAGGGCAGCTGAAATTTAAAGACAATTTTTTTTTCCTTTTTTAAAAAAGATGGATGATTCTCCCAAGGGCTTTACATACCTGATTCCGCATTTCCATTATTATTTGCCGTTTTAAAGCCGGAATTATGTTTCATTCTGTTGTCATGTATAAGTTTTGACAGTAGCGGATTTGTAAAATCACTGCTGACCTCAAGGACTAAAAAATAACAAAACATTTGGGAATTTAAAACATAAATTAAATAAAAACCTTCTATGAAAGGTCAAAAGTAGGGCGGGCCGACTACATGATACCCTACATCCCTGTGAATATTTATTAGAGCTACACGTATCAAATACACGTTTATATTTGAAATTTATATGAAGCAGATCATGCCAAATTTAGAGCAGTTATAATTTGGAATCAGAGGGCAGTTATACAGGTTGAGATGAAAAAACTGCAACCAACATCAATCTGCTGTCATTTCAGCATTAAAATGTGAATAAATCTTTTGTGTTTCGTACCATCGCTCGTTACCGTGATACTGGTAGCGTACCCCGACATTGAGGAATTGGACGGAAGAAAACAGCATCATCAGAAGAAATGGCTCGAAAGGTATAGAAGCGACTTGATCAAAACCCGTGTCGCAGTGGCCGAAAAATGGCTCGTGAGCTGAACATATCGTAATATTTCAATCGGCAAATATTTAAAAATGAGCTCAGGCTAAGTCATTGAAATTCCAAAAAGTGCAAGAACTTACACCGCAGCAGAAAGAAAATAGACTCCAAAAAAGCTAAAGAGTTGCTTCACTTGGCCGAAAGTGGTGAACTGCCGAATTTGGGTTTCTCCGAAGAGAAAACATTCGTTGTCCAGCACTTTGTAAAAAATGATGGGATTTACTTTCCAAAGAGGTCAGCTGAAAATGTCCACCTTCGGTTGGCCACCAGAACTCAAGCGCCGGCCATGGTGATAGTGTGGGACGCCATAACAGCCGATGGTCGCTCTCCGCTTATAATAATCGAATATTTTCTGGAGGGTGTATTAAAGCCTTGGGCACGCAAACATTTTGGCCGCAGACCTTGGACCAATCCGTTGGACTATTGTGTCTGGAGTATTTTGGAAAGCAAGATTGGCACTAAAAAATACCAAAGTGTCGATCACCTCAAGCAAGCGCTTCGCCGGGAATGAACCAAAAACCGCAGAGCAACATTCGGGCAGCGTGTGACGGTTTCATTGGCCAATTCGACCAATTCGAACAAATCCAAACTTATTCTAAAATTTGATACTATTTACAACATTTTTCGCTTTCATTCAACAAAATTTAAAAAAAAAATGTAAAAATTATGGCGTTTGACTTTGTTGCAGTTTTTTTTTACCTCACCCTGTAATCCGTAATCGGTTGAGAAAACAGGCCCTTAAACTCGGCAGAGAAACAGGCCCTTAAACTCACCATAATCAGCTGGATTATAATATTGCGGACATTCGAAACCAGATTTTTGAAACTCTGCCAACATTCCCTCCTGTGGTCCCGAATAGAGGATACAACCATTCGACACAACCAGAATATCATCGAATAATTTCATAAGTCTTGAACTTGGTTGATGTACGACACAGGCAATCACACGGCCATCTCGTGCCAATTTATGCAGATAGGATATAATTTGATAGGATGCAACGCTGTCCAGACCGCTGGTGGGTTCATCGAAAAACATAATGGGCGGATTGGTGACCATTTCAACGCCAATCGATAAGCGTTTATATTCCCCGCCCGATAAATTTTGCACCAGCGTATTGCGACTGTGTGTTAGGTTTAACATTTCCAAAATGTTGCTGATCTGCAACGGAATGAAATATTGAAAAATAATTGCTATTTAATCGCCTTTATTCTTGGTCGTAAATTTTAAATTTTTTTTTTGATCCAATTCAGATTTTTTTTTGATTTTTTTCAGGATATTTGTGCTTTTTTATTTGTTCTTTACTTACAATTTTATCCTTTTCCTTTATTGTTGTCTCTGCAGGGAGTTTCAAATCGGTGGAGACCCTAAGTGTTTCTTGGACAGTCAGTAGATCCAACATGGCAAAATTTTGCGGGATATATGACGACATTCGGCGAAATTCCACAATGTTTCGTGGTTTTCCATTCAATTCAATGTTCCCCGTTACGCCTGAGGCTCTGAAAATGTAGAATATTAAAAATCACATAATGTTATATGTTCACACATAACCTTACTTACTTAAAACCAGAGAGGGCATTTAGCAGCGATGTTTTACCCGCACCCGAAGGACCCAATATGGCTGTGAGGCGACCCGATTTAAATTCTCCACAGGCATCGTTGAGTATTTGAGTTGTAATCGATTTGCCTGCAAATGCAGAGAGGGTAAGAGATTTTTAATTTATGTGAGATTTTATAGTTTAGCATTTGTTTGTGAATTTTTATAAATTTTTTAAAATTGTAGATCCTGAGAGCTAATTTTTGGTTCTGAGGTATCAAATTCTACTTTTCTTTGAATGCCTATTATAAACAAGGACAGGAGTGAGCCAATTGATCAAGGTAAATTTTATCTTTATATTTTATTATATCCTCCACCATTCTATGGAGGGTATATTAGATTTGTTATTCCGTTTGTAACTCCTCGAAATATTTATAATAGACCCTACAAAGTATGTATATTCTGGAACAGCGTAAAATTCTAGGACGATCTAGCGATGTCCATCTGCCTGTCTGTTGAAATGACGCTATCTTTCGAACAAATTGGGATAGAAGGCTAAAATTATGCATGCATAGTTTACCAGTAGGCAGGTTAATATTCGGTATTTTGATGATTTCAGCAACATTATTCGCCGGAATCTTCGTATAGGAAGATTTTAATGGGTACTACAACCTATGGCAAAACATTTTGTATGCCGGTCCATGCCTTCGTATAGCTCCTGCTTCCGATACTCGGTATTTTAATCATTTTTGCGACATTATTTACCGGAATTATTTCAAATTTCGTATTTGAAGTTCGTAATGGACGGGCAAAACATTTGTATGCAGGTTCACGTTTTCGTATATACCCCATATTACAGTACCTCCAAATATTCGATATTTTAATGATTTTAGCGACATTATTCGCTGGGACTGTTTCAAATTTCCTAACGGGTACTACAGCCTATGACAAAAAAATCGTAAGCAGGTCCACGTCTTTGTATAGTCCCCATATAATGGTTTTCATTTAAGCGGTAGTTTTCGGATTTTTTTTAAATCGAATTCCTTCCAAATTGTGGAGGTTATTACAAGTTCGGCACGGCCGATCTTATCTGCTTTTTAACTTGTTTAGTTCCAAATTGAGATTAATTTTGTATATCTCTGTATTGGCCTAGCCAGAATTTGCGGCACCCATGCTTGATGGAGTCACGTTAAGCCTACTATCGGAAGTCAAGAATCTCGTTACTGTTTTCGACCAACAACTAAATTGGAAGGGGAATATCGAGGAGAGTAGGAAGAGGTACTTAGTCGCACTCTATTATTGCATGAATTCTAGCTATTGATAAATGGGGGCTAAAACCATATATAAATAAATCGATCCTCCAGTTATCACCAATGGAGGGCTCGTTGGATGACACTCGTTAGGTAAAACATCTTACTATAGGAACATCGATAAGTTTAAAGATCTGCACCTTTATTGAATACAGGTACAATCTGGTCTTTTGGAGGCAGGGTCAAAGCCAGTGACTACATATAATCACGACTGAACTTGAAATTACCTACCAGGGACATCTGGACCCGTAACAGCCCACCTTTCCACGGAGCAGACGCCAAGCTGCACTGGACACCCTACTTAAATTAAAATCCTCTGAGAACTAGAACAATGGCGTTGTCATTACTTTGGATACTCTGTTATTCTAAGGCATGTGGAGAAGATAGGAGGCGGGGTCAAAGCATGTGACTAAATATCACCACGACTGAACTTCAAATTACTAGATATACCTGAAAGGGACATCTGAACACGTAAGAGCTCACATTTCAACGGTATTTCAAAGAGGGCATGTGCGAAAGCCTGAATATCAGAAACTCCTGCAAACATCAAAACATTTGCAGGGTATTTCAGGCAGAAATCTTTTCTATCAAAAGAACCATAGATCTGTTGATGACTAAGTATGGCGATAGTAAAGCACCCCTGAAAGCACAAAATTCATGTACCATTAAATCGATGGCAGTTTTGGAGTTTAGGAATGCACTGGAAAAATAAGTCGTTTGTTGGGTTCCAGACCATTGTAACATATCTGGATCCGCCTCAATCGATTTGGAGATCGTCATCTCGGTGAAGCCGCCCTTGTGTCACTTCAAAAAAGGGCTAATTGAAAGAGAATGTAGTGTCTCTAAGACACTCTTTGGAAAGAGATCTAGGTCGCTCATATATCACCAGCGTAAGGCCGATCGATGGTAAACCACTACTGATATCCTCAATCTATGCCTTATAAAGACCCACCACGTACATGCAGCATCGAACATGGATGTGACGCAAAGGCCCATCACTTCCACTGGGAAAGCGGCGACACTACTGCCAGAGGTGAGTCAGCATTTAATTTTATTCTCAACAATAATCTTAAAATATATAATAAGAGTAATACTTCGTCATTTCAAAATAGTGTTAGAGGAGAAGTCATTGTCATCCCCGCTCTAAAATATGACACACTCTGCTATTAGCAATGTGAAGGTATCTGAAAAGTGTCTCTTCTCAGACCACAATACAGGGGCAAATTCAAACAGGATATAGGGAGGTACCGTTATATGGGGTGTATACGAAGACCTGGACCTGCATAGATTAGTTCCTGTCACAGGCTGTAGTACCCATTAGAAACTTTAAATACAAATTTTGAAACAATGTCGGTGAATATAGTAACTAAAATCGTCAAAATGCTATAGTTTATAGTGAGGTACCGATATGTGGGGGCCATACGACTGTAGTACCCGTTACGAACTTTAAATATGAAATTTGAAAAAAATTCCGGTATATATTGTACCTAAAATCATTAAAATATCGAATATAGGGAGGCACTGATATACAGGGTGAGATAAAAAAAATTCAACAAAGTCAAACGCCATAATTTTTAATTTTTTTTTTAATTTTATTGAATGAAAGCAAAGAATGTCGGAAATCGCATCAAATTTTAGAATAAGTTTAGATTTGTTCGAATTAGTCACCATTGTGCCAATGGTGAAACCTCGCTGCTCGAATGTTGCTATGCGGTATTTTGGCCCTTTCACGGCGAAGCGCTTACTTGAAGTGTTCGACACTTTGGTTTTTTTTAGTGCCAACCTTGCTTTCCAAAATACTCCAGACACAATAGTGTGCGCTGGAAATGAAGGGAGGAACCTCATTTTGTAACCATTCTTGGATAGCGCGTGCTGAGTGCGATGCTGCTGGGTCCTGTTGGAATTTCCAAGGTCTGCGGCCAAAATGTTTGCGTGCCCAAGGCTTATACACCCTCCAGAGTATTTTCGCGATAATATTTGGCATTTATTCTGATGCCACGGTCGATTAATACGAACGGAGAGCAGTTATTGCCATCATCACCATGGCCGGCGTTTGAGTTCTGGTGGCCAACCCTAGGTGCACATTTTCAGCTGACCTCTTTGGTAAGTAAACACGATCATTTTGTTTGCATATAAACTGCTGGACAACGAATGTTTTCTCATCGGAGAAAACCAAATTCGGCAGTTCACCACTTTCGGTCAAGCGAGTCTCTTTTGAGTCTATTTTCTTTATGTAGCGGTGTAAGTTCTTGCACTTTTTGGAATTTCAATGGCTTGACCCCGAGCTTTTTTTTCAATATTTGCCGAATAGAATATTGCGATATTTTCAGCTCACGAGCCATTTTTCGGCCACTGCGACAGTGGTTTCGATAAAGTTTCTTCTTTACTTTTCGACCCATTTCTGCTGATGTTGCTGTTTCTTCCGTCCACTTCCTTGACGTCTACGCTGCGCAGTATCACGGTAACGAGTGATGGTACGAGACACAAAAGATTTATTCACGTTTAAATGCTGGAGTGCTCTAACGATAGCCACTTGTGGTGTTCCAGCCAAATATAAAGAAATCACTCTATCACGCTTGAATTCCATCACGAATAACTATTTTTCTGAAAAATTCTCACCAAAATGCCTTTGTAGGCTTGTAAACAATATAATGAGGTGTCACTGGAATGATTTTAACAGCTGTCGGACGAGTGGCTTAGAAATGACAGCTGTCTGAAGTTGGTTGCAGTTTTATCATTTCACCCTGTAGAGGGTTTTTTTGTCAATGTGAAGCTGGAATCGATACATAATGCTCTCCCTGCCTCTGGTATTTCCTCAATCCTGATTGAATGGATTGATAGAATGCTAAAAAATTGTATAATCAATTCCAGCTTGGACTAACGTTTAAACTGTAGCAAGGCAAAATGGTTAAACTGGTTAGGCAAACCACCTTCCTAACTACACTTCTCTCTATAAGTTTTTTTCTTCTCCTTCCCGTTTCTATATCTCTCTTAATCCCATTTTTGTTTCTTTCTAGGATGAACAAAGTTAAAAGATAATTTTGAACAATTTAGTTCTTATGTCCTTAATATAAATCTTACAACTGTTTGAAGGTCAAATCCTAAAAACAACATGAATCACTTTCTAGCCCAAGTGGAAATTAATACTTTGTTGTTGATAATTAAATTAATCGTTGCCAATCCAATAGATTATTGTTCTTTGTGAATTTGAGTTATCGGCCACATAGATTTCATGGCTCCGAGTTCAGGCGATTAATCTTATCAGGCACATTTAGTACAGTGATTATACAGATTATATCAATAATTTTAATCGAACTGTCTGTATAACTGATATACGCTCCTCTACTGATTTGACATCAGAATTATGAACACTATAATTCCCTTTAAAACAAACTCTTTTTTTAGTTTTGTCTCGATCAAATTCCAGTGTTTCATACTCCATTTAATTAGACTTAAGTAATTTATTTCATTTTTTTAAGTTAGCAGAAAGATTAAATTTAATGACATTAAATATTATGACCGTTTTTTTTCTGTAAGCCATATTTATCAAAGGTCAAAGACTCAACACATTAAGATATTCAATTATAATTGACGTCAATAGAAAGGTTAGTGGAATTTTTTGATGCAAATACAAAGTTTAATGCATTCAAATGCAATTTGAAGTTAAAGGGTTTTTTAGGTGGAGTTTTATAGCCTCTTAAAACGCGGGCAACTTAATGCGCCATCAAATTTTATGAATATTTCTGGATTTTTAAAAACCGATGAAAATGCCCAGTCAAAACGGCTGAGACTAGAATCTTGAAACTTTTGCACAAGGGTTAGTCTTGGTGCGTAGGCGTGTAATTAGGCTGGATTTTTGACAATTCGAATACGGAATGAGCCAGAATTCTAAAATTTGGAATGAGGGTTTTAGGAAATTCAAAATTTTTGGTTACGAAAAGATCTAAATGATGCCATTTTTTTAATATGTGAACGGATAGAGCTAAAAACTGGAAAATTTGGAATACTTTTATCTCAGCTTTCCGGCCGTCTAGCTGGTGCGCACGATAACTCTCGAAGGGAGTATCCGATTTGGTCCAAACTTGGAACATCGTAATATTTTTGTCAAACTTAGATCGAGTTCGGAGATGGACAATATCGGTCCAATCCTTTTGGTACCTCCAACAAAAACAATCGAAATTTTCAAAAAAAATTCTGCACAGGAAGGGAAAGGATAATCAGATTTTGCTCCAACTTTGCAAATCCTAATATTTGCGTCATTTCTAGGTCAGGTGCGAAAATGGACTATATCGGTCCACTCCATCAAGTACCTCCCACACAAATTGTCAAATTTTTGATGTATTACAACTTTTATAAAATGTGATGTAAGAGTCCGATTGTCTTCAAATTTCACACAACCCAATCATTTTACCAACCGAAGGTCTGGTGTTAAGATGGAACTCCTTCTTGTACATCCCCCATAAAATATCGCAATTTTCAAAAAAAAAAAAAAAAAAAAACAAAAAATATTTTCTGCACGGAAAGAGAAGCATTAATCCGATTTTGCTCCAACTTTGCAACTCCTAATATTTTCTAGGTCAGGTGCAAAAATGGATAATATCGGTCCAATCCATCAAGTGCTTCCCGCACAAAGGGTCAAAATTTTGAATAATTATTACTCTTATAAAATGTGATGTAAGAATACGATTGTCCTAAAACTTCACACATACCAATATTTTTATAAGCTCAAGATCTGGCGTTAAGATGAAATATATATCGGTCCACTCCTTCTGGTACCTCTCCCACAAAAGGTCGACATTTTTTAATATCCATGAAGCTCAAAAAAAAAAAAAAAAAAAAAAAAAAAAACGCGAAATTTAGACTTGGCACATCTGAATATTTCTATCAACTCAGGATCTGTTATAAAGGCAGTAGAGATCGGATTATTCCTTCTGGTACCTCCCCCACAAAGGGTCAACGTTTTGAATAAACAAAACTTTTATAAAATCCAAAATAGGCATCAGGTTCTCTTTATATTTCACAGAAACAAACATTTTTGCTAACACAAGATCTGTTGTGAAGATGGGATATATCGGTCATCTCCTTTTGGTACCTCCCTCACAAAGGGTCAAAATTTTGAATATCCATGGAGCTCATAAAACGCGAACTTAACCCCTGATCCCATTCAGACTTGGCTCATCTCAATATTTCCATCAACACAAGATCTGGTATAAAGATGGTAGAGATCCGACCATTTCTTTTAAATATTGGTCAATTCTTTCAAAACCCACTCCATAGAGGGTCAAGAGTTTGAATAATCATAACAGAAGTCAAAATATTTTTAAATAATCGAACCTATACATCTGTTGGCAAAACCGACCGATACTTTTTCACTTGTTTTAAATATATTTCTATCAGAATAATCTGTAATTTGACATTTAGGGTTCTCAATATGTAGAATAGGTTTGGTCACTGGTCGATTGCTTCATATAGGTTCCGCATAATATAAAAAAACAGATAGGTATATAAATAACACAAACTTGCAACATACTTACATTGTTTATGAACATAGTTGACATTACTAAAATGTAATCTCAAATCACTTTGTCGTTGCTGTTGTTGTTGTGACGCCTTTAAATTGACAGAAGCTGCTAAACTCACACCATTTGTGGAGGCATGTGGTGGCAGCGGCTGGTGAGTCGGTATTGCTATGTTTGTCTGTTGATGTTTGATGGTACCATTGACCGGTGTCGTCATAGGTTTAGGTTTATTGCTGCTGTTGGTTAATTGAAATTCATCTGAGCCATCGGCCGGCATTGTTGGTGTTTTTTTTTTTGCAATTTTAATTATTATTGTTATTGTTGTTGGATTCTAATTCTTAATAATTGCAATATTTCATTACATTACACATTTAGACATGTTCTGTAAAAACACACACAATTGAAACACTTTTAAACTCGTGCCAATATTTCTGGAATAATTAAAATTCTAAAAGGAATTATTTTAAGAAACGGATTGAAGGTCGAGTTGAGCAATTAATAGGCAGGCGTTTTATTTGTAAAACACGTGATCAGATACTCATTATATAAAAATTATTCAATTATCGTCTCAACAAGAGACGTAGATTTTTTAAATACATTTTTTCAAGGACCAATCCAACCATAAACCTGGATTTTTTAAATAATTTTTTAAGGACCATAAACGTGGATTTTTTAAACAATTTTTTAAGGGCCATCCATACTATAATCTTGGATTTTTTAAGTAATTCTTTTCAAGGACAATTCCAACCATAAACGTGGATTTTTTAAATAATTCTTTTCAAGGACCATTCCAAACGAAAACGTTGATTTTTTAAATAATTCTTTTTAAGGACTCTTCCAACCAAAAACGTGGATTTTTTAAATAATTCATTTTAAGGACCATAAACGTGGATTTTTTTAAATAATTTTTTTAAGGACCATAAATGTGGATTTTTTTAATAATTTTTTTAAGGACCATAAACGTGGATTTTTTTAATAATTTTTTTAAGGATCATAAACGTGGATTTTTTTAAATAATTTTTTTAAGGACCATAAACGTGGATTTTTTTGATAATTTTTTTAAGGACCATAAATGTGGATTTTTTTAAATAATTTTTTTAAGGACCATAAACGTGGATTTTTTTAATAATTTTTTTAAGGTCCATAAACGTGGGTTTTTTTAAGGACCATAAATGTGTATTTTTTAATAATTTTTTCAAGGTCTAAAAAACGTGGATTTTTTAAATAATTTTCTTAAGAACCATTCATACTATAATCGTGGGTTTTTTTTAATAATTTTCTTAAGAACCATTCATACTATAATCGTGGGTTTTTTTAATAATTTTCTTAAAAACCATCCATACTACAATCGTGGATTTTTCAAATAATTTTTTCCAAGACCATTCCAACTATAAACGTGGATTTAAAAAAAAAGTAATAAGCGCCTTCCAAACTATAAACCATTTTTTTATCAAGGACCATTCAAACTATAAACATGGATTTTTTAAATAATTTTTTCAAAGGACCACCCAAACTATAAACCTTTTTTTTTCAAGGACCTTTCCAACTATAAACATGGATTTTTAATAACTTTTTTAAGGGCCATTTCGAACTATAAACGTGGATTTTTTAAATAATTTTTTAAGGACCATTCCATCTATAAACGTGGACTTTTTAAATACTTTTTTCAAGGACCCTTCAGACTATAAACGTGGATTTTTAAAATACTTTTTTAAGGACCATTCCAACTATAAACGTTGATTTTTTAAATAATTATTTTCAAGGACTATTCCATTCCCATTGAACTTTTTCAAATAATTGTTTTCATTTCCATTGAATTTTTTCAAATATTTTGGACTATTTCATTCCCATTGAATTTTTTCAAATATTTTGGACTATTCCAGGTATAAACGCGGATTTTTTTAAATAATTTTTTTCAAGAACCATTTCGAACTATGAACGTGGATTTTTTAAATAATTTTTTTCAAAGACCTTTCCAACTATCAAACATAGATTTTTAAAAAATTTTTTTCAAGGGCCCTCTAATCAATAAATTTGAATTTTTTAAATAACTTTTTTAAGGACTATCCAAACTATATTTCACTACTCTACAAGGTGAGATGAAAACACTGCAACCAACTTCAGACTGCAGTCATTTCAAAGCCACTCGTCCGCCAGCTGTAAAAATTATTCCGGTGACAGCTCATTACATTGTTTAAAAGCGCACAAAAGCATTTTGGTGAGAATTTTCCAGGAAAAGAGTTATTCGTAATGGAATTCAAGCGTGATAGTGTGATTTCTTTATATTTGGCTGGAAACAGAAAACTACAACTGGCTATCGTTAGAGCACTCCAGCATTTAAATGTGAATTAATCTTTTGTGTCTCTTACCATCGCTCGATACCGTGATACTGGTAGCGTAGCCCTACCTCGAAGAAGTGGACGGAAGAAAACAGAATCAGCAGAAATGGTTCGAAAAGTATAGAAGCGGCTTGATCGAAACCCGCGTCGCAGTGGCTCTTGAGCTGAATATATCCCAATATTTTCAATTCGGCAAATATTGAAAAATTAGTTCCGGTAAAGCCATTACAATTCCAAAAAGTGCAAGAACTTACACCACAACAGAAAGAAAATATACTCAAAAGAGCTAAAGAGTTGCTACGCTGGCCGAAAGTGGTGAACAGCCGAATTTGGTTTTCTCCGATGAGAAAACATTCGTTGTCCAGCAGTTTGTAAATGAAACACAAACAAAATGATCGTGTTTACTTGCCAAAGAGGTCAGCTGAAAATGTGCACCTTCGGTTGGCCACAAGAACTCAAGCGCCGTCCATTGTGATGGTGTGGGCCACCATAACAGCCGATGGTCGTTCTCTGCTCGTATTAATCGACCGTGGCATTAGAATAAATGCCGAATATTATCGCGAAAATATTCTGGAGCGTGTATTAAAGCCTTGGGCACGCACACATTTTGGCCGTAGACCTTGGACATTCCAACATAACTCAGCACCATTGCACTCAGCACGCGCCACCCAAGAATGCTTACAAAATGAGGTTCCTCGCTTCATTTTCAGCGCACAATGGCCACCAAAAACTCCGGATACCAATCCGTTGGACTATTTTGGAAAGCAAAGTTGGCACTAAAAAATACCAAAGTGTCGATCACCTCAAGAAACCACTTCACCGGGAATGGGCCAAAATACCGCAGAGTAACATTCGGGCAGCATGTGACGGTTTCATTGGCCGTTGGAAGGCCATAATTCGTGCTAAAGGTGACCAATTCGAACAAATCTAAATTTATTCTAAAATTTGTATATATTTCCGGCATTTTTTGCTTTCATTCAATAAAATTAAAAATTATGGCGTTTGACTTTGTTGCAGTTTTTTTTTTCTCGCTCTGTATAAACGTGGATTTTTTAAATAATTTTTTTGAAGGACCAATCCAATTTTAAACCTTTATTTTTTAAATATTTTTTTTTTTCAAAGACCATTCCAACAATAAACATGGATTTTTAAATAATTTTTTTAAATAACCTATAAACGTAGATTTTGTAAATACTTTTTGTTTTTATTTTAAATATTTCTAATTTTGTTCTACATTTGGTGGCTCTTCCCGATCTTGTCCTTAAAATGCACTTCATTTATATTCCATTTCGATTTCTTTGTGTTTTTTTATTATTTTTTTGTTTCTTGTTGTTACTAGTATTTGTTGTCTTATTTCAAAATTTCTTTGTTTGTTTTGTGATAAGAGACTCCGTTTTTTTTTGTTTACAGGGTTCAAACACTTCTTCACTTCACTTTTCGAATTATTATTTTTAATTTTTGTGTAACTTTTTTAAATTAAAAGACAATAATGATGACGACACAGACACACATCGGAGAAGACCACGACGATCATCACTCATGCCGACGACATTTTGCAACATAAGAAAAAAAAAACAAAATTAAATTAAATTTTCAATTTGACTTGGTCAATTACTGGTCGATGACTGACTTCCATGGGCCATTCAAAAAACGAAAAACGACAGATATCGTCTTAACTTTAAGTGGTTCGACGCTTAATTCATTGTTGATAGTCGGCCGAGAAAATAACAAACATTGTTCAAAACTTTGATAGCCAATAATTTATAAAAAAAACGAAAAAAAATAGCAAAATAGATTTGACTACCCCGATGGCTTATCTGCGGAAAGCAAACAACAAATCGTTGCAAAAATTTTGTAAATGGGAAAATCGGCGCGTCAAGTGTCTCGAACGACTTCAGAATGTAAACTAAATTGAAATTTCCACTCATGTTGCTTGTTGTGGACAATAACAAGTGATTCCAACAGTTCCAATGCTCGGCCGACAGTCCAGCAGTCAATTGTCGTCATCTAATCAAACCAACTCAACTCAAATTGCGTTTGTGGGTTTATTTTTTGTATTTTTCACTTTTGAGTACAAAATGCAGTTGGGGAACGGCAACACACTCCATCTACGATCCATAAATAACGAAAAAAAATAATAAAAATACTCGAAACTGGCAGAACCAACTTTAAATTGTTACCGGTTTCTTTTCAATTCGAATTCCAAAAGAATTAAACAATTTTTGGTTAGTTGCTTAAAACTTGTTGCAAGCAAGTTGTTGGGGATTATTTTTGAAAATGCGCTGCAAACAAATAAAAATGAATTATTGCAATCACCAAAAGGCAGTAATAGTAGATATTCACTGGCAATGGTGACAACTTAGCGGTTTTAGTAATTTTTGGAATAAAAAAAGAAGTATAACACTGAGCAAAAAAAAAAAAAAAAAAATAAATAAATAAATAATTAATTAATTAATTACCGGGAAATTCAGCAGATTACAAATGTAGAGCTAAAAAGTAAAAAATATTAAGTTGGGACGGGCCAATTTTTTAATACCCTCTACCATTGGGTAAAGAAACCCATTTTTTATAAAAGTATCTGTATTAAAACGTGTCTCACTTCAAACTAAAATCTGACTAGGTTTAACAATATCGGGAGGTACCGTTATATGAGGGCTATACACAAACGTGGACCTATACGTACAATGCTTCGCCACCGGAGCTAGAACCCATTATGACCTACAAATATTAATTTCTGGCACGAATTATGGCCTGGAAACGGCCAATGAAACCACACGCGGCCCGAATGTTGCTCATTCAATATAATTAAAAAAAATAGAAATTATGGCTTTCGACTTTGTTGCAGTTTTTTTACCTCACCCTGTATATGTTTTATACCATGAAAAAATCCACATTCATAGCTTGGATGCTCCTTAAAAATCGATTTAAAAAATCCACGTTCATAACTTGGATGCTCCTTAAAAATCCACGTTTATGGTTTGGGAGGGTTTTTCGAAAAAATATTTAAAAAATCCACGTTTATGGTTTGGGCTTGTCTTTTAAAAAAATGATTTGAAAATCCACGTTTATGGGTTGGGATGGTCTTTGAAAAATCCACGTTTATGGGTTGGGATGTTCTTTTAAAAAAATGATTTGAAAAATCCACGTTTATGGGTTGGGATGTTCTTTTAAAAAAATGATTTGAAAAATCCACGTTTATGGGTTGGGATGGTCTTTGAAAAATCCACGTTTATGGGTTGGGATGGTCTTTGAAAAATCCACGTTTATGGTTTGGGAGGGTCTTTGGAAAAAATATTTAAAAAATCCACGTTTATGGTTTGGGCTTGTCTTTTAAAAAAATGATTTGAAAATCCACGTTTATGGGTTGGGATGGTCTTTGAAAAATCCACGTTTATGGGTTGGAATGTTCTTTTAAAAAAATGATTTGAAAAACCCACGTTTATGGGTTGGGATGGTCTTTGAAAAATCCACGTTTATGGGTTGGGATGGTCTTTGAAAAATCCACGTTTATGGTTTGGGAGGGTCTTTGAAAAAAATATTTAAAAAATCCACGTTTATGGTTTGGGCTTGTCTTTTAAAAAAATGATTTGAAAATCCACGTTTATGGGTTGGGATGGTCTTTGAAAAATCCACGTTTATGGGTTGAGATGTTCTTTTAAAAAAATGATTTGAAAAATCCACGTTTATGGGTTGGGGTGTTCTTTTAAAAAAATGATTTAAAAAATCCACGTTTATAGGTTGGGATGGTCTTTAAAAAAAAATGATTTGAAAAATCCACGTTTATAGCTTAGGATGGTCTTTGAAAAAAATTATTTAAAAAATCCACGTTTATAGCTTGGAATGGTCTTTGGAAAAAATATTTAAAAAATAAAAGTTTATGGGTTGGGATGGTCTTTGAAAAAAATATTTAAAAAAATCACGTTTATGGGTTGGGATGTTCTTTTAAAAAAATGATTTGAAAAATCCACGTTTATGGTTTGGGATGGTCCTTGAAAAAAAATATTTAAAAAATCCACGTTTATAGCTTGGAATGGTCTTTGAAAAAAATATTTAAAAAATAAAAGTTTATGGGTTGGGATGGTCTTTGAAAAAAATATTTAAAAAATTCACGTTTATGGGTTGGGAGGTCTTTGAAAAAAATATTTTAAAAATCCACGTTTATGGGTTGGGATGGTCTTTGAAATAAAAAAATATTTAAAAAATCCAAGTTTATAGCTTGGGATGGTCTTTGAAAAAAATATTTAAAAAATCCAAGTTTATAGCTTGGGATGGTCTTTGAAAAAAATATTTAAAAAATCCACGTTTATAGCTTAGGATGGTCTTTTAAAAAATGATTTAAAAAATCCACGTTTATAGGTTGGGATGGTCTTTAAAAAAAATGATTTGAAAAATCCACGTTTATAGCTTGGGATGGTCTTTGAAAAAAAATATTTAAAAATCCACGTTTATGGGTTTGAATGGTCTTTGAAAAAAATATTTAAAAAATCCACGTTTATGGGTTGGGATGGTCTTTGAAAAAAAATATTTAAAAAATCCACGTTTATAGCTTGGGATGGTCTTTGACAAAAATATTTAAAAAATCCAAGTTTATAGCTTGGGATGGTCTTTGAAAAAAATATTTAAAAAATCCAAGTTTATAGCTTAGGATGGTCTTTGAAAAAAATATTTAAAAAATAAAAGTTTATGGGTTGGGATGGTCTTTGAAAAAAATATTTAAAAAATAAAAGTTTATGGGTTGGGATGGTCTTTGAAAAAAATATTTAAAAAATTCACGTTTATGGTTTGGGATGGTCTTTGAAAAAAATATTTAAAAAATCCACGTTTATGGTTTGGGATGGTCTTTGAAAAAAAATATTTAAAAAATTCACGTTTATGGGTTGGGATGGTCTTTAAAAAAATATTTAAAAAAATTACGTTTATGGGTTGGGATGGTCTTTGAAAAAAATATTTAAAAAATCCACGTGCATAGCTTGGGATGGTCTTTGAAAAAAATCTTTTTAAAAAATCCACCTTAAACATTTGGATGGACTATGAAAAATATTTCCTAAAAGATCCAAGTTTGTAGTTTGTTTCAACCTGAAAATCCATTTATTTAAAGAAAACATTTATTTAAAGAGTTCTCATTCTTGATAATTTATTCTTTAAAAATCCACGTTTATTTGTCCTCCAAAAATATTTAAAAGAAATCTTTGCTTATAATTTTATTAAAAACTATTTTCAATTTTTTTTTTCACAATCGCCTCTAACCGTAAGTTGACAACACTGTTTCCCATTTATCTTAGTCGTGGTTGTGGTTTCATTGTAGTTTTTCTTTACTTGGCTTTGTTTGATTAGTGAAAGTCAGTTGGTTGGCTAGTTACACGCTAAGTAGGTCGATCGGTAATGTACGAAGATCACTGAACTGGGTTTACATCACTTACATGTACTGGTTGGCAATGTACAGTGGAACCGGTTTAGGTTAACCTTTTCAATTTAATCAAGTACGTAATGAATTCATCAATGAAGAAACTTTGGGTGTTAGTTTTTTTTAACATCATTTAGAATTGAGAATATTTATTTTCAGGGGCATATAATCTAAAAGCGGGACTTTTTCCAGGATGCACTGAATCCACAAATGGGTGTTTAAAAGAATATATATTTTTTTTTCGACCGAAAAGCCACAAAAAGTGGTTTTAAGCATATTTTTCGACAGCCATCTAACCCATAAAAGTGGATTTCTTAAAAATATTTTTTCAAGGACTATCTGAATTTTTTAAGAATATCTTCTCAGGGACCATCTATAAACGTGAGTCCTTAATTTTTTCAAGAACAATGTGATCCACGAACGTGGATTTTTAGGAAGACTTTTCCAAGGGCCGTTCTACCTTTAAATATGTTTTTTTTCTTTAAAATATAGTCTGGAATATTTTTAAAGGATCAACTAATTGTACCTCTCACTGACTTCATTTGTTGCGAGGCTCTTGGCCATATTTTCCAATTGATTTGCCTTTCTCAAAATATTGTCGTCCTCTTGTATATGGTCAGGTTTATATAAAAGTCTCAAAAAGTTTGGCCTAAAAATCCGGAATTCTTTTAGGGCTTTGATCTACGTACCTACTAATTTCAAATCCGCTTGGCATATTTAAGCTCAAAGTAGGCTATTGGACAGTAAAATTATAAGAAATTGTGCAACTAATTTGGAAAAAGTGCTATACAGGGTGAGATGACAAAACTGCAATCAACTTCAGACTGCTGTCATTTCTAAGCCACTAGTCCGTCAGCTGTTAAAATTATTCCAATGAAAGCTCAATATATTGTTTACAAGCGTACAAAAGCATTTTGGTGAGAATTTTCCAGAAAAAAAGTTATTCGTGATGGAATTCACGCTTGAATGTGATTTTTTTATATTTGGCTGGAAAACCACAAGCGGCTATCGTAGGAGCACTCCCGCATTTAAATGTGGAAACATCTTTTGTGTCTCGTACCATCGCTCGTTACCTTAAATCTGGGAGCGTAGACCGACGTCAAGGAAGTGGACGGAAGAAAATCAGAAAGAAGCAATATCAGCAGAAATGGTTCGAAAAGTAAAGAAGCGACTTGATCGAAACCCGCGTTGCAGTGGCCGAAAAATGGCTTGTGAGCTGGACATATCACAATATTCCATTCGGCAAATATTGAAAAATGAGCTCGGGGTAAAGCCATTGAAATTCCAAACAGTGCAAGAACTTAAACCGCAACAGAAAGAAAATAGACTCAAAAGAACTAAAGAGTTGCTTCACTTGGCCGAAAGTGGTAAACTGCCGAGTATGGTTTTCTCCGATGAGAAAACATTCGTTGTCCAGCAGTTTGTAAACAAACAAAATGCCAAAGAGGTCAGCCGAAAATGTGCACCTTCAGTCTGTGGCCACCAGAACTCAAACGCCGGCCATGGTGATGGCGTGGGCCGCCATAACAGCCGATGATCGCTCTCCGCTCGTATTAAT